CCCAGCTAATTTTTATATTTTTAGTAGAGATGGGCTTTTGCTACGTTGGCCAGGCTGGTCTCAAACTCCTGACCTCAGGTGACCCACCCGCCTCGGCCTCCCAAAGTGCTGGGATTACAGGCATGCAACGCAGCTGGCCAGCCCTGCCTTTTTTATTTGTAAAAATGAGAATAATTATACTTGTATACCAGGAAAATGATCGTGAGGCACCAGGAAAACACTCCATGTAAAACTGCAGTGGGACATGGGTGACAAGTAGGGAGAACACCCTGTGTCCTCAAATTATTATGTCCTACTCTTCCGCTGTGGATCGAGGCCTCAGGTTATGGTGAAAGGCTCCTTCCTGAGTCTTAAAACATCTGGCTGCCTCTGGCTTCTCAGGTAACAAGGATAGAATTTGGAAGGTTTAGCTCTTGGTTCAAGGGACGATCTTTTTTTTTTTTTTTTTTTTTTTTTTTTTTTTTTTTTTTTTTTTTTTTGAGACGGAGTCTCGCTCTGTCGCCCAGGCTGGAGTGCTGTGGCCGGATCTCAGCTCACTGCAAGCTCCGCCTCCCGGGTTCCCGCCATTCTCCTGCCTCAGCCTCCCGAGTAGCTGGGACTACAGACGATCTTTAAAGACAGAAAGAACATTTTGTTCCTTGGAAGAAGGACTGGAATGCAGAGTGAGAGCAGGGTTGAGCATGGGAATGTGTGCAGGGAGGAGGGGTGGGGAAAAGGAGAGGTCCAGGGTCCCACTGCGAGAACAGCGCTGCGGAAGAGGCATCTGCCCTACCCAGGGCCTGGAAGCCTTGTCCTGGGAGGGAGCAGCAGGCAGTCTGAAATCTGAGCCCAGGGAACAAGGCTCCTACTGTGGGAGGGCCCCATAAAAGGAGTAGGTCAGAAGTTGGCCAAAGCTGTGGCAAGAACACGCTCTATATCCATAAGCCAGTACACAGCTACACGTGCCACAGTAGAGGAAACGAAGATGGAATTTTCATGGGACAATGGATGCTTTGTGCGCTGATATTTTCTATTCTGTACCCCTCTCCTTCCCTTTCCTTTCCTTCTGTTCCCTTCCCTTCCCTTCCCTTCCACCCTCCCTCTCTCCCTTCTTTTCCGCCTGCCTGCCAGCCTTCGTTTCTTGTATAGTTTCTTTCGTCTTGTGTCATCAGCAAAGTTGATTTCTAGACCCACTAGTAGGTCTTCCTTCACAGTTGTTCAAGCATGGGGGAGAATTAAAGGGCTATATCAAAGGCCAGCTAAGGCCTCGTATACCCCCACTCCCCTACTTCACTCCCTTTAGAATCACCAAGTTCCTTCTCCTGCCTTTCCTTCTCCTTCTCTTTAAAACAAGCAAACAAACAATTTCATCAGTGTCAAGAATAACAGGATTTATTTCACAAGCTTTTTGGATCATCATAAAAATCACCTGGGGGCTGGTTGATGTCACTGAGCCTCAGGCTTCTCCCCGGAGAGTCTGTTCAGGTAGGTTTGGCTGGGCCTGGTGACCAGTGTTTGTAACAGGTAGAGCTAGGTAATCATGATGATCAAGCCCATCAGGGATTCACTAATCAGGTTTAACCCCTGTATTGTGCTGATAAGGAATCTGGGGCCAGGTGAGGGCAGCTGCCTTGTCTGAGGTCACACAGTGGGCGCCACCCTTGGGGCCAGACATTGCAGTTAGACTGTCTGTGCCTGCAGCCCCTGTACCTTGTACATTACCAGGAGAGCCCTTAAACTGAGAAGATGAAGACTGGCCCCCACCATGCTGCAAGTTAGGGATGCAGCTGGGCTGGAACCCAGGTCATTGTAGAGTGCCACCTTCCTACAATGGGCTGGCTTCCTCGGGGGAGGTTCAGCCCATTTCCAGGGCCAGCTAGTTCCTTAAACTAAGGCAAGCAGAGAGGACTACTGCCTATGGCTGCCCAGCCCCCGTCACGTCTTGCTCTGGTCCTGAGTGAGGCGTGGGGTTTATGGGGTGAAGGGAGAATGAGTCACCTCCCTCCACTCACTGTCACTTGGTCCTCTGGGGGTAGGGTGTAACTTGAAGGTTTGCACCTAGTGATAGCCATAGCAACCACCTCCCTGCTGTGCCCACCATCACTGTTGCCCCGTCCACCAGTCCCTGGCAGTGGTCCCATAGGCTTGGAAGGTGCTTCCGGTAGCCCATTAAAGCAGGAGAACCCTGGGAGCCCACACTTTGCTACAAGCCAACTGTCAGGCCCAGTTCTGCCCACCCCCCGCTCAGCTCTTAGCTGCTCCTCTGCTGAGGCCTGCGGTTTGGCATTTCCTTCCTCACCCAGTTCGAGCCCCAGCAGCCTCCAGCCTGGCTGTAGAGATACTGGTGAGAGGCAACACCACAGAGAGCAGGAGGTTCTTTCAAGATCCAAAGCAGCGCTGTGAGCTGGTCAGAGCACCGTCAAGCTCTGTAGGAGGGCGTTGAGGTGAGCTTCAGTCCCGCCTCGCTCAAGTCATTACTGAAATGTCACCTCTTCAGTGAGGCCCGATCATTTTAAATGGCAACCGCACCCCACCCCTGCACTCCCATCCCCCTCCCCAGCCCCCCACGCTGCATGCGCACGGTGCATATGCATCACATTTTCCCTCCTTAAAGCTTCCTCTCCACTAGCAGGGATCTGTCTGTTTTGTTCATTGATGCACTTTGAGCACTTCTAAGTTCCCAGCACTTAGAAGGCCCTCAGTGCACATTGTTGAATAAACAGGTGACAGAATGGGAGTGGCTGCTGCAGCCAGCACTGCCTGACATGGCAAGGACACAGAACACTAACGGGGCTCCCTCGCCCGCTCTGTAGGAGTCCTTCCATCCCACATGCCCATTGCCTTCTCGAAACAACCACTTAAAGGAACCAAAAAGAACCATGTCACAAGCACTCTGACAGCATGGTCAGGAGGCGACTGGGAAGCCCCCACTGCTGCTCTTAAAACCTCTCCCTCTGCGCAGTCACAGAAGCCTGGAGTTGTCAACAATATTATTACAGAGAGCAAACCTTTCCCTTTCTCCTTCTTTTTCCTCTTAAGTACCCAATGTGTTGATCAAAATTTGTTTATCCTATTATTCTAATGAGGTAGGAGGTTTGGATCCCATTTCTTTTTTTTGTTTTGAGACGAAGTTTTGCTCTTGTCCCCAGGCTGGAGTACAGTGGCGTGATCTCGGCTCACTGCAACCTCTGACTCCCATGTTCAAGTGGTTCTCCTGCCTCAGCCTCCTGAGTAGCTGGGATTACAGGCATGCAGCATGCCCGACTAATTTTAGTATTTTTAGTAGAGACGGGGTTTCACCGTGTTGGCCAGGCTGGTCTCAAACTCCTGACCTCAGTGATCTGCTCACCTCAGCCTCCCAAAGTACTAGGATTATAGTCATGAGCCACTGCGCCCAGCCTGGATCCCATTTATTGGGAGAAATGGGGGAGTTGAGGGGCAGGGGAGGTGATGGAGGAATCAAGAAATGGTGGCTGCTAAGGACTTCCTTTGCTAATTTAGCAAGTTTATTTTAGGCTAAACTCGTTACTTTGAGATGGTCGTTAAGCAGAAAGAGTAGAGATCATGAGCCACTCTCATAGGCAGGCCAGGGACTCAACAGTGTCTGCCTCCAGAGAGCTTGCAGCAGAAAGGGAACTGACACAGGGGTGTGTGCGTTGAAAGGGCACTGGCTTGGAAATTAGAAAGGCTAGCTTTTGGTGCTGGTGTGAGTTGTGGGAAGAAGGGCGGTCTTTACCACTAACTACTGTGTGGCTTCAAGCTAGTCCCTTTTTTTAAAAAAAAAAAAATATATGGAGTCTCCCTCTGTCGCCCAGGCTGGAGTGCAGTGGTATGATCTCGGCTCACTGCAACCTCCACCTCCTGGGTTCAAGTGATTCTCCTGCCTCAGCCTCCCAAGTAGCTGGGACCACAGGCACGCACCACCATGCCCCAGCTTTTTTTGTATTTTTAGTAGAGACAGGGTTTCACCATGTTGGCCAGGACGGTCTTGATCTCTTGACTTCATGATCCGCTAGTCCCTTCTTTGTCTGGGCCTCTGCCACCTCCTCTGTAAAATGAAATTGGACTGATAATCTGAGGTTCCTTCCAGTTGCCCCAAATCTTGAGGAAACACTAAGCCTGTTGACTACCAAGGGTCTTGTTGGTCTCATCAGTGACCAATGGGGCTGGAATCTCAAGTTCTGGATGTTTGAGAGACTGGAATGGATGCTTGTTGCTAGGGCACGCTGGAGATACAGTTCTGACAGCAAAGCCCTCTTGCCCCAGCTCCCCCAGCTCTATCCTGGGATTTGGGGATTTACTAGTTCTGACATGAAGGAACCTGGGGACTAAGAGTATCTTCAAGTGTCTTCGTCAAAGCTGGTCTCAGGGACATGAGTGATTCAGGGAGTCGCTCATTCTGCAGCCCCTGCCATTATAGAGAATACCTCCCCAAGCTTTTATAAGAATCCACATCACCGAGTGGCAGTCTGGGAGGGGAAGATGGAAGGCGATGGCAGCCCACAGAACAGCCCACTAGAGGTTGTGATAAGAAATCTCCAAGGAGCAGCTGATTCCTGTGGGTCTAGATGATGGTCTGAAGATTCTTGGAAACAAGACAGCACTGCCAGGTCATGCAGAGCCAGGGGACCTCAGCCCCAGGAATAGTAAGACAAGAAAATACATGGCTATTGTATCCAGATCCTAAGGCTCCTGATTTTCAGAGGGAAAGCCAGGTGTGAGCTGACAAGTCTTTAAAGGGGAGCTCTGAGCTGGACTTGGAAGGTTCAGGCAGACACAGATCCGCAAGGAGGAAAGAAGGCTTCCTGGGCAGGAGGAAGGTCTGGCCTGGAGAATAAGGTGGCAAATTCTGGGAGGAAGTGAGGAGCAGAGGGTCCCTGCAGAGGTGACAAAGAGGAGGTTGGCTAAAGTTGGCCCTGGTGCCCCAAGTTTCTATAGACCAGGGGACATCAAGGGTCAGGGGGAAGGTTGAGACTGAGAGAAGGTGGTTTTGTCTCTTCATCTGTCTCTTTATCTTGCAGGATTCTCAGTAAGTTAAGTCAAGAAATCAACAAGAACGAAGAGAGGAGGAGCATCTTCACACGCAAGTGAGTGGGGCTGGTGTAAGGAAACGCAAGGTTTTTCAATCCCAAGTTGAACCTTAAAAGGGAGGCACAGAACTGTTTTTGCCTTACTTTTTGACCTGCATTGGTCCCCTGAATCCCAGGGGTCTGGAAGATGGTGTCCAAGGAGAGGAAGGAGTTTCCTCCCCTGCCCTGCATCCTGTCCCTGGGTCTGGGACATCAGGGGAACTTCCCTCTAGAGCATCAGACAGTCATGAGCTTCCAGTCATGCCACTCATGTGGCTTGGTGATTTCCAGAATTTTCAGGGTATCCTAGCCCCAGTTGCTGAGCAGCAAGGACACAAGCCCCTCTTGAGCAGTGAGACATGTCCTCCACTGGGGCTCCCTCTCGCTGGGCCAGATTGAGGAACGAGGGAGATCGCCTTAAATCAACAGGACCGTTAACGCAATGCTATTTGCCTTTGCAGACCCCAAGTCCAGCGGTTTCCTGAAGAGACAGGTAAAGCTATCAGGGCTGAGAGGTGATTGCTTTAGTTGGTGATAGGTATTTCAGTTTTCTTGCCTTTCTGGTTCCGGGGGCTCCTTGAGTTCATTCGGGTGACCTTACTGACTTGTCTGTCAGCCATTTCTTACCCAGAAAACAGTTTGGGTCTAGATGGAGGGGAGGAGATGTCGCCCTGCAGGGCACCTGGCTTATGGCCCCTGTTCTGCTGGGACCATCTTCAGAAACACACTGAGGAACTCTGGGGGCTCTGTAGAGGAAAACAGAGGGACCCCGCCTCTGAGTGAGCACCTGAGCTGAGCTAGTCCCCCTGTATCTGAGTCTTTAAAGCAGCTTGTTTTTTTTTTTTTTTTTTTTTTTTTTTTGAGACAGAGTCTCGCTCCGTCGCCCAGGCTGGAGTGTCGCCCAGGCTGGAGTGCAGTGGCGCGATCTCGCCTGACTGCAAGCTCCACCTCCCAGGTTCATGCCATTCTCCTGCCTCAGACTCCTGAGTAACCGGGACTACAGGCACCCACCACCGCGCCCGGCTAATTTTTTGTATTTTTAATAGAGACGGGGTTTCACCATGTTAGCCAGGATGGTCTCGATCTCCTGACCTCGTGACTGCCACCTCAGCCTCCCGAAGTGCTGGGATTGCAGTAAAGCAGCTTTTCAACTGTTCAATCGCACAAGTGTTGCAATGCAGATTCCTGGGGCCTGGCCTGTCCTGCTGAGTCAGAAGCAGTAGGCACAGGCCCCCAGGTAACTACAGGTCTTAAAGCACTTCCTAAATCACTGTTACACATGTGAAAGGTTGAGAACCATTGCTCATGCTCAGGTAGAATGAGCACCTTGGCAGGGTCTCTGGAGCTGACAGTAAATGGCTCAACCCCCAGGGGTGTGGAAGGTAGGTGGAGGCCGGGGAAGGAGCATTGGTGAGGGAAGGCATCAAATGGGGAAGTTTTGACTTTCCTTCAAGCGGCGGCTTTCTTCAGTGCTGACGGTGGTGTCATCTCCTTCCACAGAAAGCCATGAAGAGGACAATGGGGGCTGGTCGTCCTTTGTGAGTATGGTGTGGGCTGTTCTTGCACCTTTACAGCAGTGTCCAGGGCGGCTTTGTGATATGGACCCAGCATGGAGCCAAGTGGAGTGGGGCTCTAACATGGTGCCAGCACACCCACCCAGGGCCCAGAAAAGGTGCTCTGCATAGGGCCAGACAGGAAATAGTTTTGGCTTTGGGAGCCATGCAGCCTCTGTCTCAGCTACTCAACTCTGCTACGGGAGCACAAAAGCAGCCACAGACAATGAGCAAACAAATAGGCTTGACTTTGTGCCCATAAACCTTCATTTACAAACACAGAGGGTGGGCTGCACATGGCCCTAGGCTGTACTTTGCTGACTGCATTTTACCCACTGCTACCACCCCCCACTCACAACCCCCATCTCCAAAAATGGACACTCCTAGCAATCTACCCTCAAATAGCTTTTCTCATGGACTTAAGTCCCCATTGGTGGCACGGAGGGAGAAGAACTTCAGAACCCACTGTTAGCCCGGAAAAGACCTCAAAAGGGTGCGATCCAGTTGGTTTTTACATTGCAAGGTCACAGTGCCCGCTCTGAGAGTCTGATGGATTGTACGGCCCCTCTCCAGGAACCTATATACACAGTCACCACCCACGAAGCAGTCTCAGGCTAAGAACTCTATTGTGGACTGTAACCCAATCTGTTCATTTTACAGATGAGGCAACTAAGCCCACAGGAGAGCAGAATGTGACTTGTGTAGAACACAAAGCTAGTTAGAGGCAGACCTAGGACCCAGGTAACCAGACCCTCAGTTATGTGGTCCTTCCCGTAAGAGGCTGCCTCTAGTGCCTTTAGAAAGCAAAAACAGGCCGGGCGTGGTGGCTCAAGCCTGTAATCCCAGCATTTTGGGAGGCCGAGGTGGGTGGATCACAAGATCAGGAGATCCAGACCATCCTGACTAACACGGTGAAACCCTGTCTCTACTAAAAATACAAAAAAATTAGCTGGACGTGGTGGCGGGTGCCTGTAGTCCCAGCTACTCAGGAGGCTGAGGCAGGAGAATGATGTGAACCTGGGAGGTGGAGCTTGCAGTGAGCCGAGATCACGTCACTGTACTCCAGCCTGGGCGACAGAGCGAGACTGTGTCTCAAAAAAAAAAAAAAAAAGCAGAAACAAAATGTCCCTTGTCCTATTGGGATTCTGGTAAAAGAAAGCATTTAATTTGGGGAGAAAAAAAGTTTTAGCTAAGTTTATGCTTTCTACCTGAAAATGAAGGAATCTCACAGATTTCTTTGGTACAAAGGGGAAACAGCCCAGAGTTTCCGCTGAAAAGCTTCTGTTTACTCACAGAGGCGGAATCCCTGCCGTGCAGCCTTTCTCGTGCTGTGCCTGAGGCTAGTCTCCAATCCTCTCTGTAAACTGAGGGCTTCCATTCACCAGTGGCTATAGAGCTTGGCAGGTCCATCATGTGCCCAGCTCTTTGCAAGCACATACAGGGAAAGGAGTGGAGATAAAGGACCCAATCCTGAGCATTTCACAGTATGGATACCCCATTTTAAAAAGATAAACTGAGGCATAATGCAATTTTTTTTTAAGGAGTTTATTTGAGCAAACAGTGATTCATGAATCAGGCAGCACCAAACCAGAAGGAGGCTTTGCTGAAGAAGGATGAGGGATAAGCGTTTATAAAGTGAATGTGGATATAATACAAAGAAAATATTTGGGCTGGGTGCAGTGGCTTACACTTGTAATCCCAGCATTTTGGGAGGCCGAGGTGGGCAGATCACAAGGTCAAGAGATGGAGACCATCCTGGCCAACATGGTGAAATCCCGTCTCTATTAAAAATACAAAAATTAGCTGGGCGTGGTGGTGTGTGCCTGTAATCCCAGCTGATCGGGAGGCTGAGACAGGAGAATCACTTGAACCTGGGAGGCGGAGGTTGAGTGAGCTGAGATTGCACCACTGCACTACTCCAGTGTGGCGACAGAGTGAGACTCCATCTCAAAAAAAAAAAAAAGAAAGAAAGAAAATATTTGATGGATTATAGTTATAACCGATCTCATTCAGTCTATCTTGCTGGAAAGCTCCTAGTTATATAATTATAAGTTTGCTGGCTACTTCTGATTGGTCGAGCTTAAGTTCTGTTTTTCTTTAATATAAACATTGACAAGAAATAACCCAAGTTAACTTTTGCTTATGCTTGCAAATCAAGTAAGGTTTAGGTCACTGATGAGACTCAACTGGTTTTGTCTGCTCAGGGATTCTTCAGGCCTTGTCTCCATTTTAATTTACTTTAACACACATATGGCAGAATATAATTAGCAACACCACCATGCATACAAATTTAGAAGCCAAATGATTGGGAGAAAATGATTGTTCTAGAAGCAGAGAGGAAAACTCTGTCATTTGAGGAAGGTTGATAGGGTAAAGAGCCGGTGTAAAGTCAGGAATGACGGGCCTAGGGCAGACAGGGTGAGGGAGGGGTCAGCAGCGGCTGGAGGGAGGCCACGTGCCTGCAGACCTCCATGCTGAGGCTCTTGATCTAAAGCAGCATTCCTCCGGGGCTCTGCCCACCTGCTCCTAAGTAATAACAACACTGACAGGGCAGGACAAAGTCATTGTTTGGAGTTGGGAAGGCACCCAGTGCTCACTTTGCCACTCTATTGTTGATGTTTTTAATATTCCTCAAGTCAAAAACAAACACAGGAATCTTTCAACAGAACCACTTAAAGACAGTCTGCCTGAGACCACCCAAAGCTGTCAGGATTTCTAGGACATTGGAACATCTCTTTCCTCAAAAAGTGGCCACTTCCCATTGCTTTTTCCCACACTGCCCTTGAGCGTTGAGGTCTGGGCTCATTGACTCGCGCCCTAGAGTTTGGCATGACTGTGATGAGCACTCATCACTGTTGCTGATGCTGCTGCCTCTGCTTGGGAAGTCATTCCAATGCTCGTTCACCTTCATAGACTGCTTCAAAGGCAAAAGCACCCAGCACCTCGGGCTTACTTTCCCTGAGACCCAGGAAGAAGCAAAAATTAAATACAATAAAAAATCTAAAATTTCGAGATTCTTTCCAAGAGAGCAGCTTCACACTCAGTGTCAGATTTCATGAATAATGGATGTGTTGATACACTCAACTCTCAGCAAAAAGAATAGCACAGCCTCTGACCGTCCCCTCCTAGACACAACCTAATCTGCCTTCCACTTAACAGGCTTTGTTTATCTGTTTTCCCCATTAGCTAGGCCTTCAATGCTGCGCTAGGTTATAATGAGAGGACATTTTTTGAGCACAGGCACACTTGAACAGAAGTGGCAATTAACTAATATCATCACAAATGCTCCAGGCCTTTAGTCTTTCTCTTGGTGATGCCTGGAGCAAAAAATGTGTTAACTCAAGACAGAGTCTATTCCAGTACCCTCTATCCAGCATCCTTCTCCTTTCTTCTCTTTTTCTCTGTGGTGCAAAAAGGTGTTGTGTAAAATGGTTGTCTGAAGACCTTCACCAGGTCTCAAGTCCATGACTGGCTGCCCCTGTGATACGGTGCTCCCTGACCTCAGATTCCTCATCCGTAAAATGGGAGTAACTGTCTTCAGGCTGCCTGGCCCCGGGTTATACTGTGATGAGGCTTGGCAGGGAGAGAGTGGGCCCAGGCACATCGAGGGCCGCATAGCCTCTACAAACTGCGCTGTCCCTATCACTGCGTTGGCAGGAAGAAGATGACTATGAAAGTCCCAATGATGACCAGGATGGGGAGGATGATGGAGACTATGAGTCCCCCAATGAGGAGGAAGAGGCACCCGTGGAAGATGACGCCGACTATGAGCCGCCACCCTCCAATGACGAGGAGGCTCTGCAGAACTCCATCCTGCCTGCCAAGCCATTTCCCAACTCCAACTCCATGTACATCGGTAAGGGCCCATTTCTGGATTTTCCGGCCCCAGCAGTGCAAAGCCAAGCTCCCCACTGCTGCACGGAAGACCGATGCCCCAGCTTGCCCGTGTAGCAGAAAGCTCTGGGTGTCGATACCTGCTCGGCTTCTCAACAGCTATGTGGCTTTGTTCGAGTAACTCTGCCTCTCTGGGCCTCAATTTCCTCATCTGTGAAATAGGGTAATAAATGTACAGACCACATAGGTTTGCCGTGAGGACTACTAATACTGCAACCAATTCTTGCCTGCGGTGGCTGCCATCAGCATTGAACTACCACCTAAGGCTGTTTGGCAGTTTCAACTCATTATGCAGTTTACTCAGGTACTCCAAGAGTACTTGTTCCTCCCCGTCTTTTTTTTTTTTTTTTTTTTGAGACGGAGTCTCGCTCTGTCGCCCAGGCTGGAGTGCAGTGGCCGGATTTCAGCTCACTGCAAGCTTTACCTCCCGGGTTTACGCCATTCTCCTGCCTCAGCCTCCTGAGTAGCTGGGACTATAGGCGCCCACCACCTCGCCCGGCTAGTTTTTCGTATTTTTAAGTAGAGACGGGGTTTCACCGTTTTAGCCAGGATGGTCTCGATCTCCTGACCTCATGATCCGCCCGTCTTGGCCTCCCAAAGTGCTGGGATTACAGGCTTGAGCCATCGCTCCTGGCTGCTCCCCGTCTTTTGACCAAATTACAGTTGCATAGCATTATTATGCTAGAATAAACATGAAGATATTGAGTAGGGTTTGACTGTGACTTTAAAAAAAATAGACAGTATTTACGATTTTTCTTGTCTATCTGTCCTTTTGGCCCACTTCTCTCTCCATTTGTTCATTCAACAAACATCGTTGATGTGCTGAGAGCCCAGGTCCCATTCTCAGTGCTTAGAAATGATCAGGAAAGAAGACACAGCCCCTGCCTCCTCGGGCTTACATTCTAGTAGTGGTGTTGACAGAAAATAAACAAATATATACGTGCATAATATACTTTCAGGGAGTAAGCTGAAAATGGAAGATCGGTACCACAGAAAACGAATACCATTTAATCCTTTATGTGGTATAACTCATTTTCATGTTAAAGCCCTTTCACAAAATGCTGTCTCAATGTCTCATGGTGGTTTTTAAACATCTGTGTAATAAGGATAACCATGATCAAGTCTATTTCTTATATAGGGAAGTGGAGGTCCGGAGAAGCAATGGATAAGTCAGTTGTTGAGTGCCTTGTGTGTGCCAGTCATTAAGATACAGAGTGAATAAGACAGCCCTCGTCAAGGGACTGACAGTCCGGCGGGTGAGGCAGCCTCCAACAGATGAGCCATGAGGTTACTTAGTGAAACTGTGACACAGAGACAGGAAGACAAGTGCAGGAGATGAGGCTGGAGCGTTTGCCTGAGGGTGTAATCTTTAAGCTGTGATATTAAACCAAGATTAAAGGATGAATACAAGTTGGCCAAGTGGAAGTGGATGTGGTAAAGAAGAACATTTGAAGCAGCAGAAATGGCCGTGCAAAGGCCCTGAGGCTCAAAGGAGCACAGCCTATTAGAGAAGCTGAGAGATGGCCAGTGTGGGTGGAGTGGGGCGGGATTAGGTCAGGCTGGGCTTGCTCCTACCCGCTTCCCTGTGGAAGAACTGCACCTCTCCAAGGCTGGGACTAGAGTCAGGCAAGAGAGGCACCCAGGGCACAAAGCATTAGGAGGCCCTACCCACTCACCCCTCTTGCTTGATGGTCTTGTCCTGGGCTTTCCCTGTCAAAGGGGTAGGAAATTGCCAGCCTGTCAACCCGGCCTAGGGACACTTCCCTGGAGATCTGGATAATGTGAGTTTCTACCCAGATAATGTGAGTTTCTGTTCAAGGCAAATCTAGCTTCCACTTAAGAGTCTGTGGTCTGGTAAGAGAAGTTGGTGACCAGCTCCTCCCTTTATGGGAAGAGATGAGCAAAAGGAGGAAGTGTCAGGGAGGAGAGAGCCCAGGACATTGGAGAGGGGAAGGAAGGGCAGACAGAACAGGATCCCTATGGCAGTGAGAGCTGACTTCACCCCGCACAGGCAACTGGGTGTGCCTGTGAGATTTTTGGCATGCGTGTGTGTCTCTTGTGCACGCGTGTCTCTGTGTGTGCAGGTGTGTGCATATACATGTGTGTGCGTGCATGTGTGCACATGTGTATATTTGTGTGTCTGCATACAGAGGCATGTGTATGTATACTTCTTTACAAAATTGTCTGAAAATCCTCCCTTCCAGTTTTGGCTGAGCTAATTGCAAAGAGGCCTTTCTTGATTGGCAAAATCTCGGATAAATACCTATTCCTGTGAAGTGCAAAGAGAGCCGAGCCTGCGTATAAGGAGAGTGACACAAACTAGGACAGAAAAAATGGGCAGGGAAGGGTGGGTGAGATCCAGGCTGGGTCTCCCCGTGGCTGGGGCTTCTGCTGGCACTGGTGTGGGCCTGGGGGTCCCGAGCTGCATATCTGTTCCTGGAGACCCCTGAGCTTGGCTCACACTCCCATTTCACTTTAATAACCTTGTGTTTCCACAGACCGGCCCCCCTCTGGGAAAACCCCCCAACAGCCTCCTGTGCCCCCGCAGAGACCGATGGCCGCCCTCCCGCCCCCGCCCGCCGGCCGGAACCACTCGGTAGGCCTCCTCCCGTTCTTTTACTTGGTGTCCACTGCAGTTATTTCCTCCGCCAGAGAGAAAAATAAAACTATAAACATCTTTATCTCATTCTAATTTTGTAAGAAAAGATTATAATGTTTTCCCTCGGCTGGGGAAATGCATACCCAAGCACTCACAAGTGTTTCTTTTCTGGGGTCAAATACTGGTGGTTTTTGTTTACTTCCCACTATTTGAGAGAAGTGAAAACTGTAAAATAAACCCAAAGAGAACTGAATTAAGCCCGTGGCACCTACTGGTGTTGCGTGGGCCTCTCGCCTGCAAAAAGACTTGCGCCACCTTCTGGCCGACACCTGAAATTCCAGGGACAGGTGCCTTCCGACCGGAGGAGACAGAGGTAGCAAACCCCGTTTTCTCTTTCTTCAAGCATACAGCCTAGCTCTTGTGAATCTGATAAGTTTCCAGAGTGACCCTGAGATGCTCAGACTAAGGAATTGATAGTTACGAATGTGTTCTCTTCACAAGTTTATCCACAAGTGCATATTACCTTTGACATTTGAAGACCTTCTTTTGAGATTCAGGATTCACTTATTTAATCAGCAAATATTGACTGAGCAGCTACTATGTGCCAAGCAGAGTTCTAGGCATTGGGGATAAAGTGGAAACAAGATAAATGAGGTCTCTGCTTTCTTAAAGCTCAACTAGGGCTAGGGGGAGACAGGTCGTCAGACGGTAGACAGATGTCTGAAAGAGATCATTTGAGTAGTTATGTGTGGTTGGGGGGACAGAAGACCAGGTAACATGATGGTGCGGAGGGGGGAGGTGACAAGGAGCTGGGACAGAATGAGCCAGTTGTAGGAAGAGCTGGGAGAAGAACATTCTAGGCAGAGGGAAACAAGTGTAGGGATGCCAAAGAGGGCATGACCTTGAGATTTTCCAAGAACTGCAAGAAGATTCTAAGGTGGAGACCCCATGGGTACTGAGAAGGGATCACAGGAAAGAGTTGAGAGAGCAGACGTGGGCCAGCTCAGGCAGGGCCTTGCAGGACATTACCGAGTTTTAATTTTGTTTCTAATGTGGTAGGAGCCACTGGAAGTCTTATCAGGAAAGTGACATGCTCACTCCGCTGCCTGCAGAAAAGAGCTTACATGGCAGAGTCTAGAACAGGGAGCTCAGATAGGAGGCTACTGCAGTAGTTCAGGGAAGAAATGGTCATGGATGTTTTTAGGCAGAACATGAAGATAAGGAAAAGTGAGCAGATCCAGACAGGTTTTGGGAGTGCCAGGTCTTGCTGATGTATTGGAAATGCTTCCTAACGTTTGGATCTTTATGCAGCCACTACCACCACCCCAGACCAACCACGAAGAACCCAGCAGAAGCAGAAACCACAAAACGGCAAAGCGTGAGTACAAGGGCTGCTCTCTCTTGCCCTGTTCCCACCAGGCACTCCCCTAGCCCCACCCCATCCCCAGCCGACTGCTTTCTTCTTTTCATTGATGTCAGCCTTTTCCCCTTCCAGTCCCTGCTCCTTCAATAGACAGAAGCACCAAACCTCCCTTAGATCGTTCATTAGCTCCGTTTGACAGAGAACCCTTCACACTAGGTGGGTATGATTCACATTTAATGCATAGTAATAATGATAAGCTGTTATAAAGTGCTTCCTGCATGCATTTCACATGCACCATCTCATGTAACTATGGCCACAATACTAGGAAATGGAGACTAGTAGAATCATCCTCATTTTACAGATGAGGAAACTGAAACACAAAGAGGTACCTTCCCAAGATCACACAGCTACCAAGTGATGGGAGTAGAGACCTAAACCCAGATTTGCCTCATTAGAAAGCTCCTGCTCTCTGCTCCTGGGGGTGGTGCTGCTTCTCTATGTGATGTGTGTGATCTGTGTACAGAAATCCCATTGTCCTTCAGCCAAGAGGCTTTGGGGTACAGAGAGAGGATCTGAATTGAGACAAGGGGGTTAGGGGAGCTGGTGTCTGCTGCCTTGCCTGCTACTTAGTAGCTCACAGACCACTGGGATGTTAGTTTTTCAGGGCTCAATCTCCTAATCTGTAAGGTGGATGTTCTGTACATAGAAAATGCTTTATAAAATCCCTAAGGTGCTATTCAAATGTCAGGGATGTTTTGGTTTTAGGTACACAATTGACCAAACTTGGGTATACCACAGTCCTTTTTCTTCACAATTTACACGGAATATTCTTGGATTGCAGTTACCTTCATGGGGAGCTATTTTCAATTCAATTCTAAAACTTAGCTACCATTTATTGAGCAACTACTGTGGGGCAAGTGCTCTACATACTGCGAATACACCTACAGTATCTCTAATCCTCACACCAACTCAACAAAGGACATGCATTTTTATCCTCACTTCTCAGATGATAAAATTAAGGGTCAAAGAAGTTGAATAATTTGCCTAAATTTGAACCCTCGTCTTTCTGACTTCTAAGTGGGGGCTCTTTTCCACCATATCACGCTGCAGTTGAGGACCCTGGGTTTTAACTTGCTGTGAACTACATGAGTCTGAGGAAGGAACTCTGTAACTGAACGGAAAGGAGCTCAGAATCCCAGCTGCCCCTCACCCCTTTCTTGGCTGTGCTCTGAGCCAGGCATTTAGCTTTCTGTGGCCTCAATCCCTTTTTGTCTGTCAGCAAAATGACTTTCAGTTCTTGGATTTGAGGCTGCTGCTCACTGCTCTTTCCCCGAAGTACATCACAGCTCTGCTGAGTCATGCAAAGCTGTGCTGGCTGTTTTGGCTTGGAATCATCTGCTATAGAGAGCTGTGTAATTACATGGAAATGAAGACAGATTTGACTTTAGATTCCAACCCTGCTCACTGCCATGAGCCAAGACATCAGAAAAGTGGAACACTGACATCAAATCCTTCACAATCCCCTCCTGACACAAAAGTTATTATTTTAAAAGATTCTTTTTTTCTATATTTAAAAACATTTTTAAAAGACACACTTTTCTGACAATTTCTGTTTTACCCTTGAATTAGTCCCTTTTCTGTGATGTTTTGGAAGGATTACTGACTTCTTAAAATGTTTACACTCCACATGAGACTTTTAACGTACTCAGAGAATATGCAAAAATTGGCAAATTTTAACATACTTATTAGAGGTTCCACCCCAAAGCAAAGTTTCATAAACAGCTTTTATACCATCAAAACTCTCCCACTACCAGCAAGTTCCTTTTTTTTTTTTTTTTTTTTTTGAGTCAGGGTCTCACTCTGTCACCCAGGCTGGAGTGCAATGGCACCATCATAGCTCATTACAGCCCCAAACTCCTGGGGTCAAGCAATCCTTCTTCTCCAGCCTCTCAGAGGGCTGGGATTACAGGTGCATGCCACCATGACTGGCTAATTTTTAAATATTCTGTAGAGACTGGGGTTTCCCTGTATTCACCAGGTTGATCTTGAACTCCTGGCCTCAAGTGATTCTCCTGTCTTGGCCTCCCAACAGGCATGAGCCACCACACTCAGTGCCAGTAAGCTCTTCACAGTGAGGCAATATTCTTATCATGGGCCTGGCATATTCTTGGTCCTTAAAGAATAAATCATGTTGTGAAAATACAACTCCACACCATTCGCCATGGGGCATTAGCTGCGCCTGGGTGTGGAAGGAAGGGAAAGAAAGGCGAGTTCACTAACAATCGTCAGCCCATATGACCATATCAAAGTCAAAATAAAAACGTAGAGGCAAATCTCTAAATTTGTTTTATTTAGGAAGAAAGAATTGCAATTTGGGGCAATTGGTCTTCAGGGTCTTCAGTATGTCTGAAGAACATAAAGAAGATTGGAGGTTTTATTGAAAAGAGAAGTGTTACATATCGCTCATTGACAAAGTTCATTGGTTATAGCCGGGCGCCGTGGCTCATGCCTGTAATCCCAGCACTTTGGGAGGCCTAGGCGGGAGGATCACGAGATCAGGAGATTGAGACCGTCCTGGCTCACATGGTGAAACCCTGTCTCTACTTAAAAAATACAAAAAAATTAGCCGGGCATGGTGGCGGGCGCCTGTAGTCCCAGCTACTAGGGAGGCTGAGACAGGAGAATGGCGTGAACCTGGGAGGCGGAGCTTGCAGTGAGCCGAGATCGCGCCACTGCACTCCAGCCTGGGCGACTGAGTGGGACTCTGTCTAAATAAAAAGAAAAAAAGAGAGAAAGTTCATGGTTCTGGGGGGCTGGCAAGTTTTGATTGGTGAGCGATGGCAGAGGGCAAATTAATCTTCAAGTGGCAGCAGATTATTTCAGCAACTACCAGATAAAAGTGGTTTCAGGTTACAGCAGGCAGTTTCAGCAGCCAACCTCGCACAGAATCACATTTCTGGAGCAATGATATGTGTCCTGAGTGCTTTTCCCTCTGGCTTCTCGACTGTTTTCCTTGGATGTGATAAAATTCCCAGTTTGTATGATCAGCTTTCACAATCAAGTGCCTGATCCTGCATACAAATTGTCACCCAATTCTTACGGCAAACCTATAGAGTTTTAATCTATAATCTTCATTTTAGAGATGATAACGTTGGGACTCAAAAACCTTAAATAACTTGCTCATGGTCATATAGGATTTGCTTCTAGACCTGGTTGAATTCTGTTAGTAATACTTTTATCACATTGAAGACAAAGGACATATTTATTCTAGGGGACTTCAGATAGAATACAAATTAAATTGCTTTGAATAACTTTGTGATGCAGAATTATTAAGTACACCTGGCATTTCTTCAGGGAGCCTGAATGTCAACTGTGCTAGAAGAAAAGCAAAACAAACAAATACCAACAAAAACCAAGCAGACAGAAAAGATTTGCAGCATACCAGGAGAATCTCCTGAAATGCTCTCCCCAAGTTAAAAGTTTTTTACAAACTAAGTGGAGTGTTTCATTTAATTTCAAGTGTTTTACAGAACTGGATAAAAATTAACCTCTCCGTGGCAAGTGGGTTTATTTCAGATATGAAAAGAAAACTTAGGCTGCAGAAGAAATACTTTGACCAATTAAAGAGGCATAAAATCCCAAAGAAAACATGAATCCTTTTGATCATCAGTTATATAAAAGAAAATGTTGATTTTTTTTTTTTAAAGCACAGAATCCGCAATACTACTGGTATGTACACAAAGCTGTGTGACCTTAAATGTAAATGGTCAAGCCATTTAATTTCTCTGAGCTTATAAACTTTGGTGCTCTGTAAGGGACCCTTCCTACTCTAAAGTTTCTGCTTAAACCCCATCAACCCCCAAAATGCTTTGATGCTTAATCCTCGTCAACCTCCAAAAGGGTTCAGACATAGTTTCATCAAACTGTTTTTAAACCTCATGCTTATGAAGTTCTGAATTCATGGCCCATCTGCTGTCTGTCATTTTTATTTACAGGAAAGAAACCACCGTTTTCTGACAAGGTAAGCTGTGACCTTGATTTTTGGTTTTGCTTGTTTTTTTCGCATCTTGTCTTTATTATTTGAAAAGTGCTTGGACACTCATACATCTTCCCTCCTGTCTTGCAGCCCTCAATTCCAGCGGGAAGGTAAGACCGTTGCATCTACATGAGGGTACACGGGACACTCTGTAGAACTCTGCCTTGGCAAAATTTGTTTCTCACACATCCTTTTCCTGAACTCCACAGGCCTCTCGGGGAGCATTTACCCAAGGTTCAAAAGCCTCCTTTACCACCGACCACGGAAAGACATGAAAGAAGCAGCCCCCTACCGGGGAAGAAGCCACCTGTGCCAAAGTAACTGTCTGGTGTTGCTTGAGCTTGTCATTCAGAGTGGCCAACAGACAGGCTGTCCTGTGCTGACTCTGCAGTGGGAACCGAGGCTCCTTGGTGCTCCTGGGCTCCACGGTGCCCTGGGGCGGGGTGGGCCTTTTTTTTGCTGTGGCTTGAGGGATGTTCAGGCTTCACAGGTTGGCTATGAAGGATCAGGGTCTCTTTGAAGGAAATGGACTCTACTGAGAAATGAGTAGAGCGGCATCTAATCAAGGGCGTGGGATGACTGCTCTTTTTAGAGATTCCAGTCAAATATTTCATTGAGTTTTCCTACCTTGTCATAGCAAAGCCTTCACAGTGCCTAGGAACTGTACTCACCATTTTATTTTTCAGTACAGGTAGCAGAGAGGAAATGACTGGGGGAGGTTTTTAGGTCACTGCAAGTGTCTTCCTTACTGCTCAACCACATTTTATAATTGCAGAATACTGAGCTCTGCCTTAGTATTTTTAACTTTGCTATGAAGTAGTTTTCAGCCTATTTACCAAATGGCACACATGTACCTGGGGTTAGGGCCAACCTTGCTGCTTGCAAAGGATACAACCAAGGCTTCCATCTCATTTGTGAATCAGGGATCATAACTATTGCCCTTGCTTGGCTGTTGTGAGGATTAAATTAGGACCAGGGCTAAAGTTTGTGCCAAAAATCTCCTCAGTAATGGAGTTTGATAACATTTTAGTGTAATATTTTTAAAAAATCAAAATAAATGCAACAAACTCATAAGGAACAAAGTTCCAAAATTTTAAATAAACACAGGTTGAGATGATGATGTGTGAAGCAACAAATTGTCCCGCTCTCCCCCATCTCCCCAGAGAGGACATGATCAGCCCAGGCAGTGCCGATGCCTGTTGCAGCCCTAAGGCAGCTGTCCGCAAATCTGTTTGACTGGCTCATTCATCTGGGCAAAGCGTACCAAGCCCCTTCTGGAATAGTCCCAAAGCAGCAACATTTTCTAATTGTCTTCTCTTTACACCTAGGCGGGCCCTGAGAGGGCTGTTTTAAAACAACAGCAAGGGAGAATATTACCGAAAATGTTTTCATTTCTTGGGAGAAACAACAGCTCAGTGAAATTTAATAGCTCCTAAAGAGTTAGTTTGCTGACTAAACCATATATATATTTATGTATTATATATATACGCATAATTATCTGCTGCATTGGTTACGCGGAATAAAGGTTCGCCTAGCTCAGCTTGCAATGACGACGGAACGTTGAGTAACCGGATGTCCGTTCCACCCCCTCTCCCCTGCTCCATGGGGGTTTGTTGCTTCCCATCTTCCCTGGGCTCAGTGGGTTCGATTTCTCATTATTCAATGAAGCAAAACTGTACTCTGAGGCTGGCTCTTGGAAACGCTTCACGCTCAGTTCTTTCTCTTTGCCCTAATTCATTTCAGGCATGGATGGGGAGCAGACAGAAGAGAGAATGTAAGTACAAAATGTCAGTTTGTAAGTGCTTGATACAGGGAAAAGCCTCGTAGGCTCTGAGGAGGTTGGGACTCCCTCCACCTCGGCCTTGGTCCAGCACCTGGATCTGGTCCTGCACCCAGGACACTCTTAAGGGCTGGTGCCTCTGTCTTTGGGCCTTGGTCATTGTCTGGAATCCATCATGCTGTGTTGTTTAGCTCATGTCTCTCTAAGAGCTCCCAGGGTGGCTGGGTTAACTGCAGCCCCATTACCAGGGGCTGGTAATTAGAGAGTGCAAGGAAAAGAAGAGGATAAAGTAAGGGATGCCCAGAAGTTTGGGCCATGCCTAAATTTCCAAGGCTACTGTCTTCCTTTTCAATACTTCCTCAACCTGAAAAAGAGGGGAAATAGCATTTCTTGAATGCCTATCACATGCACATTGCCATGCTACTTAAATATGACCAGTTGTCCCTTGTTTGCACGGGATGCTCTCAGTTTTAGCACTGAAAAGCCCCATGTCCCAAGAACTGCCTTCATCCCAGGAAAACCAGGAGAGTTGGGTATTACTCACTTTACATATGAGTATAATGAACCTGTAAGGAAACATCTTTTCTCTTTTACGGAGAGGAAATTGAGGCTCAGAAGGAATAAGATACTCTTTGCAAATTGCGTGCTTGTAAAGAGCCAGGATCTGAGCCCAGATCTGCTGAGTTTCTCTTCACCATAAATCCTCTGAAGGCCATCAGACCCCTGCTCTCATTCAAGGGCTCAGCCCAAAAGTGCCTGCTATTTTTGCAGCTCTGTGCTAGACTCTGCGCTTCTTCCAATGAAGTGCTGAGATCTTATGGAGACAGGCGTACCCACAACCCCACATGCCAGACAGCATGCAGTCATGGGATGCTCTGTGGGGCTGAGGGAAGAAAGTGTCCCATGTGGCTCAAGGAGCCAGCAGTGACTTCCTAGATGAGGTGAGATTTATGCTGGTCATTGAATGATAGGAAGGACACAGAGTCATTCTTAAAGAAAGCCCATGGGGATTCCCCTCAGGAGTGTCCTGAGCAGGTGGATACCAGTGCCCACAGAGGCTGCAGATGGTGAGAACAGTAGCTTGGCTGGAGAGATAGGGACAAGGCGGAGGTAAGGCTGGACAGTGAGGATAACATCACATTCCAGGTTCCTGGGCTCTGGAAGGATTGACACTTGTGCTTAGGAGAATCTGGGAGTTGTATTTTCTGGAACCAGAGGGGAAATACTTGCAATAGTATTGAAGAGTGATTTTGTCCTGTGGGGTTTGTGAGCCCATGTGCGTTTATTTATGCAGCTCTTTGCTGGGACTCCCAGTTGGCCAACTGAGATGAATGATTTTGACTGTGGCCTTTTTTGCCTTCTCTCAGTGTGTGGTAGGATTGTTGATGGCAAACTTTTATTAAAGAGCACTTAACATAAGCCAGGCACAAGTAGTAACTAATTTAATCCTTTTAACAACACTTTGAGAAAGATGCTATTTCATCACTACAGATCTGGCCTAACTAAACAAGTTCAAGTTAGCCCTTTTGGTCTACTAGTTGGTGGCAACATTTTTTCTCTTTGAACCTCATTTCTTATCTGAGTAGAAATTAAAGTAGTCCCTCCCTTGTCTAATTTCCCAAGGTTGCTCTGAAGATAAAAATGGTGAGGATTGTAGATAAACCTTGTAAGCCACTGTATAAATAAGGTCTTATTGCTCTTAAGAAGAGTGACCATTGCAAAAGAGAGCCAAAAAGAAGGCTGAGCTTTGGTCGGACATATTTGGGGTTGAATCCATCTCTGTAACTCATGGCAAGCTAAGAATTCTTCCTTAGCATCATGCTTTTGTAAAATGAGGATGTTAAATTTTTGGAGGGTCACCACGGGAACTGAATGAAATCTTGTGTATGAATCTTTTGGACACATTGTAGATATTGTCAATATTATTTATATATTTTAGGCACCTCAGAATTTATTTCATGCTAAGTATATGAGAAGAATCTCATACTGGAATGCCCTTAGATGATTGTTTGTATTAAGAAATTATAAACCACTTAGCAAGTTCTATTATTCTCCACAGTATATTTATTATAAGGATGTATAACTGCCAAAGACAGAAGCAGATACTTATTTGATGGAGAAATACAGTTTTTATTTTAAGAATTGTATTTTGATGATAGCTTAATATCTTTTTTTTCTTTCCCCTTCCCAGGATGAAAATGATGGTACGTTCGGAAACACATTCTTACAGCTTATAACTCATTCTTTCATTTTCCTGCTCAGGCATTCAAACAGAATTGTTTAGTACAGGAACCCCATAGAATCAATTACAAGTCTTAAATTAGTATTAAGTAGACTTATGTCAATTGGCATACTGCATAACTATAGTAAAATGGAATTACTTGGTTGGATTACCAAAGAAGACGAAATTCTTGTGTAACAGTGCAGATTACTTAGTCATATCAGAAAATGTAAAATTGCATGCATGATTTGATGGAAAAATTTCTCACATTTATGTCTTCTAACACGCTTGGGTAAAAAATCAGTAACTACCAATGAATGAGATAGCATAAAATTTTGACTTTCATAAAACAAAACTTGTAAATCACTTCTGAAATTTATAAGGTTTCCAGCTGACAATTTTCTGCCAAGTTAACATTTCAAAAGTGAAAAACCAAATAAATGTGTATTTTAGAGTATTATCTAGATCTGCACCCCTTTGTAAATGGATTCTGTGGTGGTTAAGTCATCTAGAAACACCTTGAGAGCAAGGTTCCATCCTACTACTGCCTAATTGGATGTGATCTGCTGGATTTTTGTGACCTCTTTATACTAGCTGTTTCTAACTGGGGGCAGTTATGGAATGTTTCTTAGTGAGAGCTGGGATCTGACAATCATATTCATTGTTTTCTACCTCTGCACAGTGCATCAGAGGCCTTTGCCCCAGCCAGCACTACTTCCTATGAGCTCCAACACTTTCCCTTCGAGATCTGCTAAGCCAAGCCCCATGAACTCTCTCCCGTCTTCTCACATGCATGGAGCATTCTCAGAAAGGTTTGTGGCTCTGTCGTGAAATTCTAGCTGAATATAATGTTTAGGTCCATCTAGTACTGAAGTAATGCCAGGTGGATTGAGAAAGAAGGAAATGATCAGGTTGATAGTAGGGTCTGAACATTTTGGGTCTTAAGACATAAAACCAAGCTGAGCATTTAGAAGGGTGTGTTAATCCACCAGTGTCCTCTGAGTCTCTGCTTGAGATGAGAGGGGTGAGGAATTGACTTCCTCCTTGATCCCTCCAGTAGAATGGCCTTTTGGTAGAAAACAAAGAATATTTTCACTTTATGAGTTCAAAGAATCAACAAGGATTAAGAAACCCAGTTGGTCTAAGTACTTGAAGTTCATCTGCATCTTGGCTGGGGAGACTGAGACTGAGAAAATGCGCCTTGTGCTTGGCTGGTGCTAAGAATTCATTGCAGTCTCTGTCCCCCTGTTTTCTCCGTAGCAGCTGTGTTTCTCAGGGCTGGTATGAGGCTGCCCAGGGGCAGAGGCATGAACAGGAGAAAGGCCCAGTCATTATCCCCAAACAAGCCCAAGGACAGCCTGTGGTGTTCCCCAAGTCCTCCAGCCCTGTGGGCTCACCTTCTCTCTTAATATTCAAGGAGAGAAGTCAAGACCCTTCCCTAAAATTGTAGAAAACTCAACCACCGACAAGGCTCATCCACCCCTGCCAACTCCTAGCAGGATTCTCACAATGCTTCCTCTGCCCTGGGACCCTCTGCCCCTGAGTTTCCACTGCTCTTCTCTCTCTTCCCCCTGGCCTCTGCTGCCCTGTCTGCTGACTCTCCTGCCGTTTTCTTCCACACTAGCCTGAACCCCATCCTTCATTCGCACGAAATCCCACTTGCACAAGGTTGCTGTGCAGAGCAGGCTTTTCCCAAAGGCTTGGACTGATGGGTGCAGGAGTTGCTGCTCAGCGTGGAGGGAACAGACAGCATTTCAGGGCACCCCTGGGCCCGCTTCCCCACCCCAGCCCTGCAAATACTATCACCCTCTGCTGCAGAGCCACCTAGCATGCACTTCCCTTCTCACCTGGCCTGCTCTCTCCTTGCAGACCCGAAGACCCCGGGGATTCACTGCTCACCAAAGACATGCCTATTAATATAATGTCCTAGCAAAAGAAAAGTCCTCTGAGAAGAGGACTTCTATATTCTCCCAACTCAAAGAGCTCAAGTTGCAGCCAATGTTTAAAGTAACTTTTAAGTGCCCTTTACACAGTTGAATGTTGCTGTTGTTCTACTTTATAAAACTTGTTAGACTTTGGCATGGTCCACAGTGGGATGTGGTGAAGTTCTGTCCCTGTGCCCAGCCCCCATGGTTTTGGGGGCAGCAGGGGAAGTGATACCAGATCAAGAAGCTTTTGCAGTCTGGCTTCCCTAACCAAGCTCCCCTATCTGGCCCCATCACCCCAATCCAAATAAATTTTGTTTTTTTTTCTGTCTCTTCAGTAACAGCAGTTTTCCACAGAGTGCCTCCTTGCCGCCATACTTCTCTCAAGGTTTGTACCCTGGGCTTTTGTGACCTGCTTCAGCCATCACGCCTTTATGACTGGGTCCCTAACCTGTCCCAAAAGCTTTTGACGAGGGTTTTGTTGTTTCCAAAAAGCATCTGATTTCCTCATTCAGCGTTTAATTCAGTGTCTGCCGTGTGCCAAGGGCTGTCAGACTGATAGGATAGTACCTAAAACACAACACACACACACACACATACATATACACACCCGTACACACATGCACATATACGTGCACACACACGCATACACACATACACATATATACATGTACACACACATATACACACATCCACAATACATGCACACACAGGCATATGCATACACACATACACACATGGACACACCTACACACACTTCACCAGGAAGCCAGCCCTCATCCCCAATCTTCTCGTGCAGAACTACTCCTCCGGCTGCTGTTTCCCTACAGACCTTGGAATCGTGCTTGGCTTTCTCTGCAGTTTTAGATTTCCATGATTAATCTGTCCATGGTTGTGAGTTGGGAGCATGTTCAAAATACAGACTAAGAGAACTTAACCTCACAGATGCTGATTCAGTAAGTCTGGAGTGAAGTCAGGGACCTGTGTTTTTAATAATACCACCTCTGGATGTCCAGGATAAGTATTGGCTTAGGGTGTTCTGCAACTTGAACGTGCATACAAATCACCCAGGATTGCAGATTCTAATTCAGGAGGTCTGGGATGAGGCCTGAGTTCCTGAATTTCTAACGTATTCCATGCGACACTGTGACTGCTGGTTCATGAACCACTTTGAAAGGCCGGGGCAGGACTAATTTGTGTTTTTTATCCTTAAAGACTTGCAAGTGACAGGCACTTGGTAGGCACTTTAAAAATGCTTGTTGAATGAGCATCAAATGACTGTGGAAAGTTACCCAACTCTAGTAAGTAGATCTTTACCATTCCAGGAAACTGGCTTAGCGTTGCCAGATTTTCCAATTTTTTCTCAAGAAAAGTGAAATTATTTAATGTTTAAATGTTGTCTTAAATTTTTTTTAAAAATGCTGTGAAGAACAACAACAAAAAAACCACTTTTTGGCCAGGCGCAGTGGTGCACGCCTGTAATCCCAGCACTTTGGGAGGCCGAGGTGGGTGGATCATCATGAGGTCGGGAGATCAAGACCATCCTGGCTAACGCGGTGAAACCCTGTCTCTACTAAAAATACAAAAAATTAGCTGGGAGTGGTGGTGGGCGCCTGTAGTCCCAGCTGCCCAGGAGACTGAGGCAGGAGAATGGCGTGAACCCAGGAGGCGGAGCTTGCAGTGAGCCGAGATTGCGCCACTGCACTCCAGCCTGAGAGACAGAGCAAGACTCCGTCTCAACAACAACAACAACAACAACAACGAAAAAAGCCACTTTTTTTTGCAGTCATGTTCCATGTGCAGTGTGTGCACAGGCCAGTGTACATTCAGTAGAAAACTATATTAGTAAATTTGGATTGACAGCCTGAGAATCAAGAGCACATCTAAGGTATTCAGTTGGATGCATCATTCCATAGAGGGGTGAGATCCCACTGCTGACACCAGTGGCACCCACTAAGTTTTCAACGGTTTCTAAGCATTTGAGGTTATGGTGTCCACGTTCACCACATGATTTTCACAGTTTCCCACCCAACCCCTAATTTTTTACAATCCCCAAAACTCACTGTGTTTTGCAAACACACATTTGTGTTACCTTCTTGCCTCTGTAGCCATCTGAGTTCCAGACACATCACAGCAGTATTTTCCAAAGCAAGTTCCACAGATCTCCAGTTTTATGAGTCTGAGATGGAGCTTATTAATGCAAATAGTTAATTATTTCTGGAACATTAGCTTCATCCAAATTGATCCCTTTTCCCCTAAGACTGCCAGGACACCTGGTCCTCGGTCTTCTCCACTGGTTGCTCCAACATCAGAAGGGTAAAAGTTGTGTTGTGCCTTGTCCAAAAATCTGTGACGACTCCCTTGAGAGTCTAGATATTAAGGGTGGTAGGCGACTACAATAAAACAGTATATGTGCTTCTCTGTTGTGAATTATAACTCTATGACGCTGACCTGCAGGTACAGAGGCAGAAAGAGAATCATTTCTTAACTGTAGAATAGCCATGCAATGCGGGCCTTGGTTCTGTTACTCTCCTGTATTGTTAGGTTTCATTCATTCAACAAGCATTATAAAAGTGCAAGTGTTTGACTACAAAAAAAGTGGGATGGGGAAGGTCTGTCTAGGTACTGGGAACTTGAAGAAGGAAGGTACTGGCAGCTCCGGGCCAGCTTGTTTAGAAACAGGGAAGGAGCATCCTAAATAATCCTGGTGATGTGGCTCAGGAGACTTGTTTAGAAACAAGGAAGGACCATCATAAATAATCTTGACGATGTGGCTCAGGAGGCTTTAGCCCTTCCAGGTGACTCTCCTCTCCTCAGTGGTGTAACAAGGTAGACATAGTGACAATCCCTGGTGTAGAACCACCAGAAGTACTTGCTAACATGCAGATTTCTGGGCCCTAGGTGCTTGAAAGTCGCCCAGTGATTCTGACTCATGCACAGTAACATTTGGTAACCACAGGTTTAAGTTTTGGCTTTGCCACTGATAGCACATGATTTGCTTAGCCTCTGAGCCTGTATTTCCCCATATGCAAAATGAAGACAATACCTACCTTGTAATGTTGCTGTGAGGATTAAAAAAATGTACACACAGTACCTTACTCAAGATCTGGACAGAGTTGTACTGAATACATATTTGTTGAAGGTATGAATGAATGATGGATGAATAATTAAGAGAACATTCGACTCACAGAATTTTTCTGTCTTTAACCACAGCCTGGCACACAGAAAATACCCTGGGCAACCGCAACAAACACAACTAAACCTTTCCTGAGATTCGGAAACTTTTTCCTAAAGTTTCAAGGAATTGTAAATGAGAAAAAAGAGTTTTAGAGAAGATGAGACATAAGCGCTGGGTAATTAATAGGTGCCCAACACAAACTTCCTGATCCGTAGAGCCTTCTGTGTGAGTTGAACAGTTCTACCTGTTTAGTTAGAACAGCAGGTAGCAATATTTGATTCTAAAAGCTAGCAATATTCTCAAGGTAATTTCATCTTCTCTTGGGTCACTTACATTTCTTTTTGTGGAAATATTAAGAACATAATTATCTTCATTACTGCCTGTCCCTACATCAGCTGTTGGGAATCCATTCTGCCTATGCTGAGATTATAAGAATCTATGAAAGATATGTCTCTTGAGCATTCATTTTGATGTTCACACTCATTAAAACAATTGTGAATTTTTTAGTAAAGGGATCTAGTCACTTTATATTATGCAACATGCACATTTAGAAAATCACTCCAAGTTGAGGTTCTCTTCTCAAAGTTTTACTGGCATGATTACAGAATAATGCCTGAGTAGCCTCCATGGTTTCAAACGGAAGAAAATTATTTTTGAAGCCCTGGTTTCTTAAAATGCTAACTGTAGGACCAACCGCAAGGGTATTTTGAGGGGGGGGGGCGGGAGTGTGTTTTGATAGCAGTAAACAATAGCTTACAGTAAATTAACTTTCGGAACTCTGTACTTTTGAAGGCCCTAGCAACAGACCACCTATCAGAGCCGAAGGCAGAAACTTCCCCTTGCCACTTCCAAACAAACCTCGGCCCCCATCCCCCGCGGAAGAAGAGGTAAGAAAGTATATGTTTTTATTTTTGTTTGTTTGCTTTTTCCCTGGTAAAAGAATCACCAGAAACTCCCACTGAATGTTCTTCTATACTTTTATCTTCCGTTTGTTTTATTTTATTTATTTGAAAAAAAGTTAAAGGAGAAGATCCAGATGAACAATATGTTCTTTTTCCTTGGCATTCTTTCAGACTCTTTCAATGGCAAACGTGTGTTTTGCATTAAATGGCAAGAAAAATAATCCTGTTTTTTATGTTTATGACCTTGATTCATCACTTAACTGCTCGATAAACCAGTTTTTTTATCAAGCAGGTTATTATGCTAAACTGAAGAAATTACTGTATCTGCATCTTTCCTGATTAGAGGTTCCATACTGTAAGGAACACTTATTCACAGGTATTTTTGCAACCAGCGTCATGATAAAAAGCAGTTCACACAAAATGTCTTCTATTTAGCCTCAGCTAAATGACTGTGAATGCAAATTAAGAAAACAAATGTTTCAAACCTCCTGGAATTGAGGTGGTGATTTATGGAAATGATTACTCAGAAGCTTTTCTTTTCACTTACATCTGTAACTGTAAAATTTATTCAGTTTCTAAAAATTTACATTTTCAGAATTCATTAAATGAAGAGTGGTACGTTTCTTATATTACCCGACCAGAGGCAGAAGCTGCTCTTAGAAAGATAAACCAGGTATTGTGCTATAGTTTATTTTAACATAGTTATAAATATTAATGGCAGAGAAGGGAACTGACTTGTCCTGAGTACCCATTACAGGCTAGTAATTCTGCTAAGTGCTGTTGCTAACTGTGATACCTAGGAGACCCATTAGTGCCAGCTTCACAACTATCAGCACCCATAGCAGGGATTCCTAGGCTCGGGAATCATTAGGCTGGCAGAAGAATCTCAAGGCAGTCATTTGGCTGGCAGAATCTTAGGAGATTTGATTAATGAAAGAGTTTGTCTTGTCATACGAATCACACGGTGTCAGAAGGAGGCTCTCCTTCCCCCAAAGTTCCAACATTGTACCAGTTCTATCTTCCTCTTAACACAGATGTGCCATCCTTGTTGATGTGAAAGGACCGATATTAAAGAGACAGCAGCAACTTTTTGCTTTTTGCCCTAGCAGTTTCTAGCTAGTCCTTTAATACATAAAGTCTTGAACATATCTCCCGTAGCCAGTGCCGACACTTTACCTTAAATTTATTTATCGGAAATGGGAAAGCAAAACTCTTTCATCTTTCACATCTAAACTCCACACCAGTAGTTCTCAGTAGTAGCTGCACATTTAAATCACCTGGAGAACTTTTGAAAAATCCCGATTCCTGAGTCTCGCCTTGAGATTCTAATTATTCTGGGGTGCTGTGTCAGCTCTGGAGTCTTCAAAACTTCCCAGGTAATTCTGATTTGAAGCCAAGACTGTGAATCACTGATCCAGAAGTATGTTTGTTTAGCAGAGATGTTCTGACAGGCTCAATTAACTTGCAATAAAAGGAACAAAGGAAAGCCATTATTGCCAACTCATGGCTATTTAAAGCTATCCTGATTTGGTATGAGGAGAAGGGAGTAGTTTAAAGGAGTCCTTTCCAATTAATTCTATCTTAATATTAGATCTTTATAGCATTAATATTATGTAGCAATAATTTATTGAATGGAAATTTAAAGTACAGGACAATCAAAACAGTAGTTTAGCAAATATCAGAAAAAAAAGAAAAGAAAAGAGAACATCTGCATTCAATTTTGTTCAAGTGTCTGATGAAGGAAAGACTATCCAGGGATCACAAGGTTTTAAGAAGGGTGAATTTCACGGCATTTGGGTCTTTTCTGACTTTGGATGTGGAAGAGAAAGGTTAGGGAATTAACTCACAGGAATAGTAGGAAGATATATCTTGAGTTAACCAATAAAGTTTTTTATTTCTCCTGGCCTTTTATCCACTCAACCACCCATTATTTATTACTGAACAAAAGATTCCATTTTTATAAGAGACTTTAACGAGATTGACTCGGAAATTTCTCTGATACAATCTCTGTTGCCTTTCTTAACAACAAAATAACTCATGACACATGGGATCTGTAGCTGTGTGGAGAACTGAATGTTCGTTGAATGACGGGTTTTGCACTCAAGAAGCTGCAAAGTGCAACTGACATGTTTGTCAGATCCCTGGAGGCTGGTCTACTATTCTTGCAAGCAACAAAAATATTGACTTTTACTCTCCCATAATAACAGGAATTTATCTTTTTAGGATGGCACATTTCTGGTTAGAGACAGCTCTAAAAAAACAATAACCAATCCATATGTCCTCATGGTGTTGTACAAAGATAAAGTTTACAACATCCAGATCCGTTATCAGAAGGAAAGTCAAGTTTACTTGTTGGGAACTGGACTCCGAGGGAAAGAGGTAAGGATTTCAAATTTCAACATTTTCCCAAAGTCTTTTTTTATGCCACTCTGCATGCCTTCATGGAGCAATCTTTGGAAGTCCATGCTGTATGGCAAATTTAGAATTAAATCACATTAGTGAAGCCCTTCATTTATTGGAAGAGAAATAAAGCAAAATCTTTACAATGGTTACTTCTGCCATAGGATTCTTTCTTGTATATCTTTTATTCCAAATAATCACATGTATAATTTTCAAAAGCAAGAAAAAGTATGTTAACTTAAAAAAATCTATTTAGATGGTGTCAAAGGTAAGTTCCTGCTATTATTCACCTCTGTGACATAATTTTAATGTAGGTTGCATTTTAAGTTGACACCACCTGGAAAAGAGGAAAAATTATAATATTTGCTGGGGTGATTATTCAAATACTTGGCTCATTTCTTAACAAAATGGAGCTTTGGCCTTGTGAAGATGGCCAGATTGCCAAAGAAATTCTTCTCTGTTAGGCCAAGGTTTAGATTCTCATGCCAGTCACTTTTTGAGTGATAATCAGAACTGATGGAAAAAAACCCTCAGGGCTAGTGTTTTGCAAAGGAAACTAACAACTGAAGGTAATGCCCCAAACAAATTCTAAGTTCAAAGTTCCAAGAGGAGGACCAGCTGAATCAAACATGTCCAGAATGAGAAACAGCTTACCCATAACTTCGGCTTCACATACTTCTGTTATGATAATGATAATGAATAGAAAACAAAATGCATACTTGTGGTCAAATGTTTGAATCACTGGTTGGCAGTGGATAGAGCTGCACAGACCCTATAGAAGCAGAGGTATTTGCCCTTCAAGATGTATCTTGGTACAGTGTGGAGACACACAAGTTCAGGCCAACCATTCATTGCAGCTCCCATGGAGGCAGGCACCTAGCAGATTAGTCTTCAAGGAAGTGCATTATCCTGTTAGGGTTCCTAGGTGAGTTGTGACCCATGTCTAGAAAAATGAATTAGGCTTTTCCCTCTCTAGCAAGCAATCAAGGCTGGGGCGATCCAGGCTATGGCTGCAAACTTGCCTGCTGAGCCCTTATGAGTGTGAAGGTGGCAGTGAGGACACAGCAGAGAGATCAGGAAGGAACCCCCGTGCCATGCTGCATATCCCACCTCTAGACACCATGAACTGTGTCTGACCTCCTGAGTCCTTATACTTCCTAACACTATTAACGACTGGGGGTGAAACAGAGATACAGAAACTGAAACCAAAACCAAAAACAGAGCAACCCGAGGCAAGAATATTGTAATCGTGACTATGTACATGACCCCTTCATATGAAGTTAAAATATATGCGTTTCAAATTACATATATATATATATATATAAATACACACACACACACACACACACACACACGTGCACATATTTTATCTTTTTTTTTTTTTGAGATGAAGTTTCCTTCTTGTCACCCAGCCTGGAGTGCTGCAGTGGTGCAATTTTGGCTCACTGCAACCTCCGCCTCCCAGGTTCAAGCAATTCTCCTGCCTCAGCCCCCCAAGCAGCTGGGATTACAGGCGCACGCCAGCAAGCCCAGCTAATACTTTTGTGTTTTCTAGTAGAGACAGGGTTTCACCATGTTGGTCAGTCTTGTCTCAAACTCCTGACCGCAGGTGATCCACCCGCCGTGGCCTCCCAAAGTGCTGGGATTACCAGCGTGAATCACCGCACCTGGCCCGTATTTGATCTTTTATCTATGGTTTGCTGGATGTTTATGGGAAATTTTTCTTCAAAGTTCTATAGCAGAAATCATTAAACTAATTGCCACATTTACATTTTTTCCCACAATCCTCATCACTTGAAGAGGCAGGATATATTATGCGGCTAAAAAACTGAAGGTGAAGTTCCTGCTTTTCATTCCATTGTTGACTCATCCCCCTATCTTGGCTCTTCCAGGACTTCCTGTCTGTGTCAGATATTATTGGCTACTTCAGGAAAATGCCACTTCTGCTCATTGATGGGAAAAACCGAGGTTCCAGATACCAGTGCACATTAACGCATGCGGCAGGGCACCCATAGCAAGTTAGAGCCGAGCGAGCGAGCCCTCCTCCTGCCTCTGCTGCCAGCACGAGATCAACCAGCCTTGGCCAACGGACAAACACTTAGGACTGAACTGAACCCCTCCCCATGAACACAAGGGTTTTAGCCTTCCCTTTAAAAACAGTGTTTGAAATGAAGACTGTCAAATATCCCATAATTTATTTATTCTTCTTCAATGTTTGTAAAGTGCATAAGTCATGTTCACACTTGAAGTCTAGTAGTGCACTGTAATAATTCATTTTTTAAAAGTTTTTTTAATGCCCATTTCAAAATACAATAGTTTACACAGCTACAGAAACAATTTGGGGCAAGTTTTAAAACACTGAAACAGTAATAGTTATTGGTATCACATAAAACTGATTTTCTTACAGCCAAACCTCTGTCAGTCAGAGGCATTCATTAGTTTTATACATGTAATTTGAAAATTACTAAACCTCATTTTCTCAGCAGCAATAATTTAAGAGGCTTCAAAAATATAATTTCACTCTTACTTATTTGGTATTTTTTTCCTGGGGGGATTTTTATGTAATTTTTTTATGAAAAGATAAATGCATGTTGAGATAACTTCTGGGATTAAAATAGTCTTTTGCTTTACTTTTTTGGTTTCCTAAAACAACTTTATTGACTTTTAGTCCATACTGTTATATTTTCGTCTTAAAGAAAATTTAAACTACAAATACCAAAACATTTTAAATTTAGGGATGAGACTTTGGTGTATCGTGGGTCTATGTTTAATGAATACATCTGGGGTTAAATTGGCGTTTCTTCACATCTCCACACCCACACTAACCATTACACCTCCCCACCAACCTTCTCTCAACCCCAAAAGCATTGTCCAAGGACATAGATTTTACCAAAGGCTCCCTGGGAGGATGAGGGAGCAACACTTTAGATAAATTTGATCAGACTTTCTTATTAGATATGGCTCTTCTATCTCTTGTTATCCCCCTGACAGCTCTGCCATAAAGTCCCTTCTCCTCATCCTTCCCAAACAGGTTGTATAAGTGCCTTGAAGTAACTAAACTCTTTCCTTCAGTTTACTAATCTCACTTAACAAAAAATATAGGCATTCAGCCAGATTAAAAAACTGGTATTCAGTCAAATAGTGACAATCAGTTGTTCTTCAAGTTTTTCCCTTTGGGACCTTGGTTGTTATTGCACAACTTTTATTAGCAACAATTTTTGGTATCTCTGCTTAATCTGCAAGTTTTCGAAATGGAAAAGAGTATCTTGCATCTTCATTTTCATGAGCTAATAAAAGGGGTATTGGAAGGAATCTAAGAAGTCACCATTTTAAAACTGATGATATGTTAAGATAAAGAGTATGCGGAATGTAGAGACTTTTAACTGGTAAAAATGATGTTTCACAAAATCTCATCCTTAATAACCAGAAGTTCTCAGTTAGGGTCCAAAACTTGGGAGTTCTAAGGCTGAAAACTCTGCATTCATTTACATGTCTATACAATAGGCTATTCAGCAAGTGTTTACTTAGTGGCTCTTCTGTGGTAAACAAGTGAGCTAGGTGCAAGGTAATAAGGATAGCATACACCACAGGTTCTAGTATCGAGTAAGCTCAACTTGTCTTGCTTCACCGTATTCTATCCTTACGATTCAAAAATATCTAAAATGAAGGACCTGATCGATTTCAAAGTGACTATTTGGTAGTGAATCATGTTTATAAAACAAACCAAAGCTCATTTTAAGTCTCTTAGTGGAAAGGGCCATTAGGATTAAGATGTTCTATTCCACGGCTATGACTGAAATCAGTATTGGGAAGCTAATGTTTTCATGACTAGCATTCTCTCTCTGTTCAAGCACTGGCAACTCCTTTTTGCCAGGCCTTGCCTCTTTTGGCCACAGGCCTGTATATGACCCCAGGTGCATCAATCACAGGTGCTCAGAACTCTGCTCAGTGATAAATAGCTTACTAAAGCTGGGTCAGTCAGGGTCACTCTCTGGAATGTTAAACATGAAGCCTGAGACAAGATCTCTCTTCTTTTTTTTTTTTTTTTTGAGACGGAGTCTCGCTCTGTCACCCAGGCTGGAGTGCAGTGGCATGATCTCGGCTCACTGCAACCTCCGCCTCCCGGGTTCAAGCAATTTTCCTGCCTCAGCCTCTTGAGTAGCTGGGACTACAGGAGCCTGCCACCACGCCCAGCTAATTTTTGTATTTTTAGTAAAGATGGGGTTTCACCATGCTCATCAGGCTGGTCTTGAACCCCTGACCTTGTGATCCACCCACCTCGGCCTCCCAAAGCACTGGGATTACAGGCATGAGCCGCTGCGCCCGGCCAAGATCTCTCTTTTATCTGGGGTCCCCAAAAGGCAATGCTGTACACTTGGAGCTGCCTGCTGCCCTGCAACTATTCCCATTTATCAATTATCTGGAAGAACCAGTCTACAATAGAAGAGAATGAAGCCAATACACAAAAACACAGTAAAAGGATAAACAAATTAGTGGGATCCCTGAAATCTATTCCAACCATGGGCTTCCAAGTCACATGACTCAATATAATGCTTCAGCTGGTTGAATTGTGCTTGGCGTTCACTACCAGGAGAGTTCTGACTAATATGAACTCATACCATCAATTAATAATTTAGTAGCTCTCTTTCAACCTGAGCCAAAATCAAGCATAAGCTAAAGGATAAGCAGTGACCCACGGCCAATTTCCTATGTCATACGCTTGCCATTACTGAAGTAAGTTAAGCCATTCTTCAAAACATTAAACAGCCTTCAAGAACATGAACTGCTTGTTTACAACATTATTTTTATTTTGTTTTAAATTATACATATACAAATTAGTAAACTCAACTCTCCCAAGTATTTGTTACTTCAACAATAAAAACAGAAACTCGTAACAAATAAGAAATCAGCAGAAAAACTGTTAGAAACAAGGGATATATCTGATATTTTAGACTCTTCAAAGAGGGGGTTGTTTTCTTTCTGCTTCTGTTAAGTTCTCAGTCTTGACGGGATGATTAAAATGTAGGATAAGGTCACAAAGCAATAACTGGGAGAGCTCTGTAAAACAAAACAGGAGATATTATATTGTAGCACATATGTCATTAAAAAAACTACTATTGCTTTAAGTAGCTATTTCTTCCTAGTTCCTAATTTAGTTTTTCCCAAGTGATTAGTGATAAAACCACAATTTAAGTGTGTCTCATTCTGACTTAAAATAAGATTTATGTATTAGAAAATAAGCATGACATAAAAGTGTGCTCTTTAGCCCAACTTCTCAGCTATATTACTAAACTGCAACTTGATTTATACAAATTTGATTTATATGGTTTTAACTTATTTTTACCTATGTCATACATGCATATAGTACCAAGAATCAGATAAGTCTAAGGCACGTTACAAAAAATTGCAGTTCCAATCTCCCAGAGGCAACCAATTTCAGTTTTTTTGTTTTCTTTTGTTTTGTTTTGTTTTGTTTTTAAGCTCATTTTGCTTCTGTTGCTTTGGTCATTTCAGTGTGTCTGTTTTGAGTATTGTTATTGGGGGGAGTGGTACGATGGTGTTTACCTCCGTATCTCTAAATTTTTTGCGATTTTTTTTTTTTTTTAATTTTCAGTGTTACCTGCCTCTGACACAGAAGATTAAGAGACAGCTCTTTCACACACCCTCTTCTCTCCCAATATACTTCAGGAAAAATTTTTGCTTAGCTCAATTATCTAATGTTTAAATGTTAATTATACAAATACTCTTCACAGCTGAGTCTTGTCATATGACATTTTTCCTTCCTGCACGCAACCCACCAGAGTTAATGTATTTTTTCATTGCTGCAATATCAGAAATAATATTGCTGCATTATCAGAAATGTCCCCCGATTGAGTAAATTTGCTCTTGGGTTATTCAACACCTTAGCTATGCTATTGTTAAACGTCTCTCCTCTCCTGGAGCCTTCTGATTTGCTCCAATATGAACTGATTGCTTATTAGCACTGCTGTACAGTTGGTATCTTGGGAACTCCCTTCACCAATATCCTTGAGACTCCTTTTATCCCTCCATTCTGTGGAGTGCCCTTTCCCCCAAATTCCTGTGTCTCTTTTTGATCTGTTCCCTTGTTTGGTGACACATAGGCTCAGTAACTATCGGAATAAAATTATATGTCTGAAAATTTCTCTACACTAATCCTTAATTAGAAGGTTGACTCACTATGGAAATCTAGATTGGAAATCATATTTTTTCAGATTTCCAAAGGCACTGCTGCATTGCTTTCTAGGTTCCAGTGAAGCTGGAGTCATATGAGAACTTTCAAATGATTGTTTTGTTTTCAGAAGCTTTACAGATCTTTTTGTTCTCTCAGTAGACTGAAATTTCACAACACTCTGCCTTGGTATGAGCTTATTTTCATCCACTGTGGTGCATTCTTTCATTGTAGAAACTCATGCCCTTCAGCCCTGGAAAATTTTCTCTATTTCTTTAATGAATTGCCCGTCATTCATTGTCTATGTTCTCTCTTTCTAACACTCTTATTTGTTGGATGTTGGACTTCCTTCACTTATCTAATCCTTCTCCTCCCCATCGTCAACACTTTCCATCTCTGTTTTGTTTACACTCCAGAGGAATTTCTTCATTTTACCTTTCAACCTATCAAGTTTTTCATTTCTACAGTCACACTTTTAATTTCCAAGAGCTCCTTCTTGTTCTCTGAATATTTTTTATAGTATCTGGTTCCTTTTTCATGGATACAGTATCTTCTCTTCTCTCTGAATATTAATAATTTCTTGAAGTTTTCATCTCCCCTCATTATTTCTGTTTCTTCCTCATTGAATCTGTTGATTTTTTCTCTGCTTTTCATATAAGATGTGCTTCTCAAATATCTGTTGTGTCTTAGTTGCCCATATTTAAGACTGTGACACTAAAAAGACAATTGTAAGTTCTGCACCTGTGGTACTCAATAATATGGCATTGATCTGGCTGCGTTATTTTGTTGGGAGAACCTCTGCTATTAGTATCTTTAGATCTTTTACCTTGGACTGGTCAGATTCCTGAGAGAAAAATCTACTTGGAGGGTATAAATCTGGCTGCCAGTATTTTGGTAGCCCAATGAAGAAAAAAAAATCCTGGGAGTCTTGTAATTTGGTATGTAAACTTTCTTTCAATATCCTTCTTTACAGTATAGTACTTTCCCTCAACCTATGACTAGTGACTCCAGGGTAGATATCCTTGTTTTAACCTCAAGTCTTTTATCACAGTGAAGGGATAGCTGCCCAGCTATGCAGAGGGCAGAAGAGACCTCAGGGATCTACAATTCTTATATATTTAACTAGTCCTCCTGTTATTATTCAAACTTCACCCCTACTTCCAAAAGATTCTGGTGCCACCGTGAATTGAGTCGTAGGGGCTATTTTTGGCTTTACCCAGCCAGCTTAGGGTTCAGATTTTCGGACTTTGGGGTTCAGACTTGTCTATTTGCTTCTCCATTTGCCTTTTGTTTTGTTATCTCTTATTGGAATCTCTTTACTTGTGGATTTTTGTCTCTTTAAAAATCAGTTAAATTTAAATCTCAGGTCTACCACTGACTAGTTGCTTGACCTTGAAAAAGTTAAATCTCTCTATTTACACATCTGTAAATGCCAATGGCAACAGTTCCTACCTTATACAATTATTATGAAGACAGTTCATTTATGCAGAGTTCTTAGAAGAGTCCTGGATTACGGTAAATGCTGTAAGTGTTGGCTGCTGACATTATTATTTAGGGGATGAAGTGAGGGTGCACAGTGTTCATTTAATCCTCTACATTTACCAGAAGTCTACCTTCCTAGTGTAGCTCTACAGGTCCCTCAGAGCCTAACTGCCTGACCTACCATACAATGTCTCAAGAAAACATCTCTCATAGTTATTACATTTTATTTCAGGAAAGATTATTCTCCAAACTAGAACAATTAGAGTTTGGGGGGAATCTAAAGCTTAACTGTTTTAAATGAGTTCAAGCATCCAAAACTATTTATTCATTTAATAAACATTTTTCAAGAATCTAATCAATCGAGCCACAGTGTTAAGTACTAGAAATACCTGTAAGGAGCTTACAGTTGAGCAGGGATAAGAAAAGTAAGGAAATATGCAATTATAAAATAGTATAACGGGTGATAGCAAAGGGCAGAAAGGATAACATGCTGGCTCAAAAAAAGTTTTCCAATGTAAGTGACCTTGACTGCTAGTAGTTAACCTGGTGTGTTGGAGATGGGGTATAGCAATGGGATTTCAGAAGGACAAGTATGTGTTGAAGCAGATACAGAAAAGCACTTGTGGATATGCAAATAGTTCAGTATGGCTAGAGCACAGAACATGCAGGAAGAACAGAGTGAGAGACTACAGAGGAAAAGAGGGGCCTGATCTGAGCAGGTCATATAGTCCATTCTAAGATGTTCAGACTTTATCCTAAGGACAATGGTGAGTCAGTGAGGGTTTTCTGCAGATTGACATTTGAGGCTGGTTTTGAGAAATGATGAATTAAAGGTAGTCAGATTTCTTAATATGCACTGCAAATTTGTAAAATACATAGCATAAAGCACTTCCCAAACTTATTTGGCCATAAGAACATGGACTCTGTTCTACTGTACACCATCTATTAACATCTCTTGAAACAGCAGGGTTCTCAGATCAAAGTCCAGGAAATGCTGTCCTAGGGAGAATACATGGAAAAAGCATAATAGGCACTCACTATTTGGTGCCTAACTAACGGCCACGCCCTCTTCTTCTTGGTGTCACAGCTTGATTTCGTTTGAGGTGTTCCTTTCCCCAGCTCCTGTAGTAAGTTCTGACTGGTCCAAACTGGTCTTGGCAATCCCAGTCCCCTTAGCTGTGGCTGCTGTAAGCATCAGCATATGATGCAAATCTGGCCAATGAAAGGGAAATGTGCTGGAGGGATCTGGGAAAAGACTTATAAAAAGAGACTGTCTATATATCACCACCTCTGAAGGTAATGACCATGAGGAGTGATAAAGAGAGTGAACATGACAGAGCAGAAAGATGGAAAGAGCCTGGTCCCTGACAAAATCTTTAAACCTCTTAATTAACTTTAGGGCTGGGCTACCTTGGATCTTCTTGTTTTTCCTTATTGTATAAGTCAGGTTAGTTTTTTGTTATATACAGATGTAGGCCTCATAACCGACACAAGCTATCTTTAAATACCCAAGAGTTGTTTTAAAAAGAATAACTACATATTCAGTGTAGTTTTCATGGTTAGAAACAGGACTCTCAGGTGAAAGCAATAGGAGAACAGATTTCAGCTAGCCCGTGAGAAGGAATTGTTTAAAATGGAATGGATTGACTAGTGAGACAGGAAGTTCCCCAGAATAAGAAATGTTTGGTCAGGGATAGATAACACCTAGAAATACTCAATCACGGCCGGGTGCGGTGGCTCACGCCTATAATCCCAGCACTTTCGGAGGCTGAGGCAGGCGGATCACCAGGTCAGGAGATCGAGACCATCCTGGCTAACACGGTGAAACCCCGCCTCTACTAAAAATACAAAAAATTAGCTGGGTGTGGTGGCGGGCGCCTGTAGTCCCAGCTACTCAGGAGGCTGAGGCAGGAGAATGGCGTGAACCCGGAAGGCAGAGCTTGCAGTGAGCTGAGATGGTGCCACTCTACTGCAGCCTGAGCGAGATTCCATCTCAAAAAAAAAAAAAAAGAAATATTCAATCACAGAAGTTTTCTTGGGATAAAATAACAGAATATGTCTGTGAGGTGAGCGACTAAACATCATGACCTATAAGGTCTAATCCTAGTATATGAATCTGTTTAAAATGAAGAAGCTTTAAGTCACAGAATCTAATTTATATTTTTAATTTGGGATGAACCTTAGGGGCTTAGTAAGAATTCATAAAGACAATGAATTTTGCTGAATGTGACATAGTCTTATAATGGTGTGTTGAAGGGAAGGAAGGGATGTAAAATTTACAGAGGTTAGACAACCTGATAAGCTTGTTAGTGTCAGGGATGGGAATTCAGGTCTGCTAACTCCAAAGTCGAACATAATTCATCTTTAGAGATCTAGTTCACTTACACTGAAAACATTTCTTAAGAAATAGAGAAATCCTAATTAGTGGGCAAAATTTATTTATACCCCAGCAGAAACATAAATTGGCTCTACCATTTATTTTATAACAATGACATGCAAACATTTTAGTGATTCAATACTTACCTTTTATCTTCTTCAACTCCAAAGAAATTGTGTTAATATTTTTAATTACTTTGTCCACATTTAGCTTATGATCAGTAGCACTCTTCTTACCCATCTGATTTTAAAAGAAAAACAGAAACAATGTATATATCAGTATTTATGTGTACTTTTAAAACATTTACATTTTCAGTATTTCTATAAATCCATTATTTCAGAAATAATTATGAAACAAATCTTTATAAATGGTAGAAATCTAACATCAAAAGGCATCAATGTTATGTAATATTTTTCCAACTGAAAACTCCAACTGGAATTCGTAGGATTTCTCAATCAAACCATATCCACAAGAGAGGGCTTATAATAGAAATAAATACGTCCACTTTTGAGAAAGTCTCAGCCCTTATAAACTACCTTACAATTTAGCATTTGTGTTAAGATCTTCTCTAATTTTGTTTATGTAAGTCCATGTCTTTTTCTAACTTACTTTTGAATAACAGGGCCCACATATGATTTAAGTACACATTGAAACTCAAAAAGAATTTGATTATAATTCGTTAAGAGGGTAACTCAATTATAATCCACAAAGAGGGTGGCAAATGGCTAGTTTGGTTTTGGGAGTTAGGGTAACAGACATTGTGATTTTGGTTAACCGAAATGTATAAATCAATGCATTACTATGTTATACAGTACCTGCATATAACCAATCGTGTCAGATACAAACATACAGAGAGGTGGTTTCTTAAGACTAGAAACTAGTCTTAAGCTGTTCAGTCTCTCAAAATGACTTGAAAAACTTGATCTCAATTACCATACACAACTCCAGCAGTGTGAAAGGTAGGCATTTGTGGGTCAACCCGCTTCTCCAAAATAATGAAAACTAACCTTTAAGTCAGTTCTTGCCTCTACCTTTTCCTGAGCAGGGAGAATTTCTCCAATTTCTCTCATTTCAGAGCCACTGTAAAAGAACTAATTTTGTTTCCCAGACATTAGTAAAATGTGCTTTGCATCTACCCCCAAGACCCTATTCTCCGGGATGTCAGTTATCTTCCCTGGGCATGCCAAACCAAGAGTCAAGTTGGAAGCAAAAAGATGGTATTTTAACATGGGGTGGAGTGATGGAATTAAAGAACTTCAAAAACGAGGGAAAAGTTTTCTAAAAAGAGTAAAGTAGAAACCAAATGGTTTTAGAGCCCAAGACAGCGGCCTCTCTCCGCTCTGGGGTCCGGTTCTCCAAGGCCCTCGAGCGCCCAGCGGGTGGCTGGGGTGAGGGCACAGCAGCATGTGGCTGGGACTCGACTGGAGGCAGGACAGGGTTGGGTCAAGCCCTCCCCAGGGAGCTCGGCCAGGCCACTACCTAGAAAGGAGAGGCAGCCCCAACAGCAATCCACCGAGAGTGGGGAAGCGGAGACCAGGCTGTAGGGGCCGAAGGAATGGGGGGTCAGAAGCCAGGATGCCCCGACTCAAGGCCTGATACCACTAAAGCGCCATCTCCGGGCCACAGGACGCCGCCCAGGCCCTCAGCCCTGCGGAGCCATCGTTAGCACCGCAGGTTCTACTCCGAAAGCCCAGCCTCCCCCTTGGCCCAACCGACACCCGGGAGGAGCCCCAGATCTTTGGGGCCCTCAGCGACCCAACCGCCCATGAAGACCCCCCAGATCTTTGGGGCCGTGAGCAGCCCAACCACCCGCTCAACGGCCAAAGATGGAGTCTGAGGCACCTGGAAGTTTCCACAGTCCTCGCCCTCCCACACAGGATTTGGAATGAACCTTAGGGGCTTGCTAAGTTTCTTGCCAAGTGGACAGGATTAGGGCAATGTAAAATGGCCTCAGAGTGACTCTGGCCTGGGGAGAGACACCAGCCGCCCGGCCCACCCAGCCAGCAGCCCCCTTCTCCGCCCAACCGACACCCAGGGAGAGGCTCCGAGGCCAGCCTGACCCACTGCCTCGCGGGGTGTGAGGCCCCGAGGCCAGCCTGGCCCACTGCCCACCCGTTGGGTGGTGGAAGATAGAGCCTCGGGCAGCCTGGAAATTTCAGCGGTCTTCACCCTCCCAAACCAGATCCGGATCCTTCAAGACAGAGCAGCTGTCACTACCCACCCAGCCAACCGTCACCGAGGTTCTGACAGGAGCAGGGAGTCGACTGGGAAGGCGAAGAGGCGCCCCCTGATTGGCCAGCTTCTCCGCCTGCGGCATCCTGGGAGTTGTAGTCCCAGGCAAGGCCCCTACGGAGAAGGTTCTGGATACCGGGTTACAACGGACTCACGCTGCCACTTGGGCGGAAAAAACACTGACATTCCCTGCCCGCTATGTGCCAGGCCTTTGCAACCCTTATCTCCATTTAAGTTGCACAAGATAGCAGTAGCGTTAAGTGCGGACTCTGGAATAAAGCCGCTTGGGTTTGAATCCTATTCTGTCACCTGCTTAGTTGTATAAATGCAGATAAGCGATTAACCATTCAGAGTGCAGATGTCCTCACCTATCGTGTGGAACGATAATAACTGCCTTCCAGTATTAGTTTGAGGGTTAAGTTAGATAATGCATCAGAGGTGCTTGGCAGATAACAAGCGCCCAGAACTGTTAGCTATTATTATTCCTATAACATTTTATAGGAATGATAATAGTAAAGAGTAGCATGAATAAAGAGATGGAAGGTGGTTTTTTGCTAAGCCGAGAAGCTGGGATTCAAGCCGTCTTTTGCTTGACTCCAGAGGAAATCTCTGCCACTGCAACCTTTGAGGCAGGCCCAAAGATTTTTCTTCGTGCTCTGAGAAATTGAGGAGCTTAGGCCTTCAGCACAAGGTGCTATACGACAAGTGTTCGCTGTGTCTATGCCTCCCCTATAGTACACACCAGCCTCTGGAACCATCACCTTCCTGAAAGCCCACATCACAATTGTTGGGTATTTTATATCCAATTTCCTTCACTTTAACACTGCAGAATTTGTTGTCGAATGCAATTACCTAGATGAGGAGGGACAGAGGAGAACAGAGCTTAATGATAACCAGTTGTATGATCTTAGAAAAGAATATCTTCCTTATTCTGAGTCTCCGTTTCCTCATCTGTTTTCTTATGAGAGGGATGGGCTAAACCAGTAGTTCCTAAATTGTACTCACTGCTGGGTCACTGTTAAGATTCTGTGCTTATGGCACTCATATTATTATTACCTTCTCCTAAACACCTTATTTTCTCCTGTGGTTATCTTCATGGAGTTTCTAAAAGTGAAGAAGTTTTTAATAATAACCAGCTTCATAAAATACGAAGCTATATTATTACCTTCATATTTTAAATCTACTTATTTTTAAAATTTAAATCTACTTAAAAATATTTATATCACTAATGTTAAATAGAAAAAAACACAAAGTCAGGCGAGGCACGGTGGCTCACGCCTGTAATCCCAGCACTTTGGGAGGCTGAGGCAGGTGAATCACGAGGTCAGGAGTTCGAGACCAGCCTAGCCAACATGGTGAAACCTCATCTCTACTAAAAATACAAAAAATTAGCTGGGTGTAGTGGCAGCAGCCTGTAATCCCAGCTACTCGGGAGGCTGAGGCAGGAGAATCGCTTGAACCCGGGAGGCGGAGGTTGCAGCAAGCCGAGATCGCGCCACTGCACTCTAGCCCAGGCGACAGAGTGAGACTCCATCTTAAAACGAACAAAACTCATAAAGTCATTGGAAAAATAAAGACAGTGAAAATAAGGCATATTTTAAATCATGTATATATGCTCGCAGCCAGATACAGTGTTTTCTGCAGCCTGATCTTTTTTGTTTGATGATGAAGAAGTAAAAACTTCTTCACTTTTAGAAACTCCCTGTGGATAACTGCAGGAGAAAATAAGGTGTTTAGGAGAAGTAGGTGGGTGGAGATAGCATTAAGACTGAGAATCCTAACAATCAAGTGATGGGCACTAGGGTTGGCAGGATGGAGCATCCCCTTGTCCCAAGCACACTGAACTCATTTTTGGGTTCATTGAGTGTTTGCAGGAGCTATCATAGCTCTACTACCTGTGAATTAGAATCCACAGGATTTTTTTTGGCAGAATCTGAAGGTCTTGGATCCATCCAAAATGCTGACTGCTTCTTATGAATACATGCAAACTACTGCTATTTGGAATATATCATCATTAAGCCATTAGTTATTCACAAATAAAAATCAACTTTGTGTTCCTTTTAAATAAGAGTTCTAAGGGGAATAAAAAGAGATTAAAAACTCAGAAAAAGACAGATTTAATAATGTATTTCTCTCTATAAAACTGTCTTGGAGCAGTGATGACTACTTATTGCAGTGTTTTCTCTCCTTAAATAACTATAGATTTTGTCTCTTTGGGGTTTTTTCCCCCCTAATAAAATGAAAGCTTAAAAGCATGGTTTGCTACTCAGGGCTAGAGACTGTTACAGCTAAGGTCCTAAAAAAAAAAAATCTATCTTCCTTAATAAGTTTGCAAATACAACACTATACTGGAACCCAACACAGGTTGCAGTTGTTGATTCTAATGTTAATCAAACAAAAGGATTTAAAAACTGGTAAGTGCCCCCATAAAGAGAAAAAGGTGCTGCAGACCAGCAAGGTGATCAAGCATTTTATGCAGTTGCATGTGTGCACCTTGGCTAATTTTATTACAGATTCTTGACATAAAGTCTACATTTCCAGGAAAACAAATAGAGTAAATTATCTCACTTCTTCCACTAGATCTCAGGGTTCCCATTTTCCTCCTGTCTGTTCATTATCAATTAAGAATGCTGGCCTCTGTGTCTAGGGACTGGCTCCCTGCTGGAGCATCAACCCCCTTCTGAACCTGACTTTGTATACAACCCCTGTGTGCACTAATTTGGGAGGCAGCAACATAAGCACGCGTTGGATCGTTACCTGGGGAGCATGACCAGCATTTGAAAGTTTAAGCAGATTCCTGTGTATCTGAACAACTATTGTGTTTCTCAAAGTCAATCACTTAAGGAAAGCAAGAAGCACGCTGACTTCTGCTACCCTGGTGTGAACTAAAAGCTGGAGTCCTTGTCCACTGTCTTCTTCGAGTGGCTGATGTTATATTATCCATTTTCTTATTATCCATTTTCTTTTTCTATATTATCCATTTTCTTTTTCTTTAGGAGAAACACTTCTGAAACACAAAAGGATATCATTAATGAGCATCCACATCGCTCCTAGGTTAACTGGAGCGTTTTCACTTCTAATTAAGAAATTACAGTTCTGTATCAATATTTCCCTCTGAACAGGGTCATGAGATATAATATAGAACACCCAGTTAAATTTGAGTTTCAGAGAAACAACAGACACTTTTTTAGTATAAGTATGTCCTGAATGTTATATGGCCCCCACTTATACTCAAAATATATTCGTTGTTGATCTAAGATTCAAATTTAATGGGAAATCCTGTATTTTTATTTGCTAAATTTGGCAACTCTCTACCCCAAACACTTCAGTTCTGAAGAAAGAAAAGCAAACAGTGTGAAATTTTGTAGATTCAGTAGATACAAAAGCCAAGAGAATGTTGAAGTTTTCCACCATGATGTCCAAAGTAATAAAACAGATACACTTACTGTGCCGGAATCTGGCTCTCCTCCTCTGTCAGTGTCCCTGGAATGCAAGAGAGAAGCTAGGTTTTGAGACAGCAGATGGAAGGAAGCTGAGAGTATTCAACATGGTACTGTGTTTTGACAGTTGCTTGCTATGCCTTTTTGTCTGAAAACTCTTTGTGCTTGGCTTCTTAGAAGATGCCTTCATCTGGCAAGGCATATTTATGATACAATTTGTGTTAATTTCCAGAGATCCACCAATCAGAGAATACCTGTCTGTTCCAAAATAAAATATGTTTCTAATTCTCTCATGTCAGGCATCCATTCCCCCATAATACCTCCTCCGATTATTAAAGACATAGATCCTGGTGGATGTCATTTCCCTCTGGGCATTGCCCCACACCCCCACACTGTGCCCTCATCAGCATCCAGGCAATGAAGAATGAGCATCTTTATCAAAAGACATATTGTGTTCATGAAGTCAATTCCTATAGAATATAAGGGTGTACTCACGTTTTGTTATGAAAAAAAGAATGCATATGTGCATAAAAGCAAATCTGGAAGCGTATCTACCAAAATGTTTACAATGATTGTTAACATTAATGATAATGAGATTTGAGGGTGATTTTATTTCTTTGTGATTATTTATTTAGCCTAGTCATAATTTTAACCCCATCTCCTTCTCTATATTTTAACTTCTCAGGTCATTTCTCAGCATGATGCATCAATCACTTTAAAGCAGAGCTTTTCAGACTCTGCAGCACACAACTTAGGGAGCTTGTGAAAATGCAGATTCTGGGGCCCACCTCAAAGACTCAGCTTTAGTGAATCTAAGGTGAGGCTCCCTGAATCTGCATTTTTAATCCCCTGCCCTCCCAACTCCTTCTATGTTAACCTAGGAGGTCTTTGGATCATGTTTGAGGAACACTGGCTGGCAGTTTCACTGGGCATCTTACACAAGTCTCAAACAATGGGACCGTGATTGAAATGTATTTTAGTTACTGATGCCAGAATTCAAGTGGGGGTTTTTTTTCCATAAGTATTTATATAATTTTCAGTCATCAATAAGAACCGCTTAATTAGGAAAAAATGTTTGGGATAGAACACCCCCCACCCCAGCCCAGCAGAATATGAAGACTCAATGTCTATATTCTCTAAAGTGAGAAGAAGGAGATGGGCATCCCAGTTTCAAGTTCTTTCTAATTAAGGTCTTTATTTCTTCTATTTCCTAGTAATTTTATTTATTTATTTATTTATTTATTTATTTAAGACAGAGTCTCGCTCTGTTGCCCAGGCTGGAGTGCAGTGGTGCAATCTCGGCTCACTGCAACCTCAGCCGCCTGTGTTCAAGCAATTCTCCTGCCTCAGCCTCCGGAGTAGCTGGCATTACGGGTATGCGCCACCATGTCCGCTTGAGTTTTTTTTTTTTTTTAGTAGAGACAGGGTTTCACCATGTTGGCCAGGCTGGTCTCAAACTCCTGACCTCAAGTGATTCACCTGCCTCGGCCTCCCAAAGTGCTGGGATTACAGGCATGAGCCACCACACCTGACCGTATTTTAC